AATAGGAACACTACATTCACTGCACTCGACCTAAGTGAAATCAAGGTAATAAACGTGTTACTGCCGGTTAATATTTTTAACATTAACACCACTTGTGAAAGTTAACAATGATGTATTGTTACCATACATTTATTAAAATTACTAATTACGCCCATTCTATCTAGTGTATTGACTTTCGACATAAAGCTTAATTTATTTTATAATAGATAAGCCCAACATACTGAACATGTTTATTGGACTTTCCGTACGCTAAAACGTATGTCATCTGTTATAGTTAGACCATTCTCGTTTAAAACCAAACGATATAACTCAAAGTGGTAAATAACGACAATACAGTCATTGCAAAATTGAAACGAGCTGGATGTACAGTATTTGACTACAATGTCGGAACGACCAAATTAAGTCTAATAATGGCAATTGGTTGAAATCGAAAACTAAATAATTGAAATACCAAATCTTATAAATTTTCTATCTAATCCTCTAACCTTTTTAATACCTAATTTAGTACATTTAACTCATTTTCCAAAGCTATTTCATCCACAGCGAGCACGTAGGAAAACATTTATAACCGAGTTATTTCCAAAGGGAAGACAGCAAATGCCATTAACAGAGGAAGAGGTCCTCGTAAAGGTCAGTGTAACTGCAAGAGCTACAGAGAGAGGGAGATAATTATGTTAAGCTTCTGTAAAAGCCTTCCTCGGCTTACATTTGGAATTATTAGATGTTTCGGAATCGTGGGAAACGTCTAAAAGAATTACCAACATCGGGGAATAGGTACAAATGTTTAAAATTTTATATTCATTACCTTAGCTTAAACACACGGTGGTTCATAGCCGAAAACAAGATGTAGGTCTACTTTAATGGGACACAGAAAAGGATGGGTCTCTCAGAAGAGTTTTCTCGGTTTTTGAAAGCTATAACCTACAAAAGTCATAGATAATTCTAACTTAAACTTAAGTGTATTAGAAACCTAGTCTGCGTTTTATACAATAAAAATGTTAACAATATATGAAACTTTTCCAATATTGTTGATATGAATCTTTCACCGCTTTTTTAATTTTAACTTCTGCAGTTCTTTGTTCAACATGTCCCAAGATGAAAGAAAATTACCGTCACATAACAATTATAAATAATTTTTTTAGCGAATTTCCCTATAGGGAAGTAGCTATTACCGTAGGTCTCATGGTAAGACCTAGGCCCGGGACCAATTTACTTTTTCATTTTGATGTCCCCGGAGGCCAAAAACACCATTCGTTCAAATTTTTATATATCTATATATAGAGATATATATATATATATATATATATATATATATATATATATATATATGTCCATCCGCACGATAACTTGAGTAATTTTTATCCGATTTTGATAAAATTTGGTTTGAAGGTGTAAGGCGGGATAAACTTGAACGAGTTCGCGAACCAGCATGATCGGACTATGGGAACGGGGGTTTACGGAGGGTTTTATGGGGTAAAAATAGGTTTTTCCCATTTTTGACCCAAAAAACATAAAAATTTGCAAAATCTTTTCAAACCATTTTGTAGAGCTTAAAAAAACAAATAATTTAGTATATTGAAGTGTTACTATGCACCCAATAGTTACGGAGAAAATTCCAAAAAAATGTAAATTTTAAATTCCCATGTTATTCTTATGGAGAATAAGTAAACTGTTGTAGTTTGCTTGTTTATGAACATATTTTGATCAAATTTGGAAAATGTTTTTATTTCTTACTAACTATTAACATTTTACAAAAAAAAAAACAGTTTTACCCTCCCTGATGCAGCAAACCTAAGTACCTGTTAAACTAATTCTATTTAAATAGGAAATAAATGTTAAATTTTTAAGTAGACATTTTAGTGTAAATCCAATCAGACATATGGAAATTCGCTTAGTCTGCAGGTTTGCTGCGGCGGGGGTATTTTTAATTACATTAGCGCTTCTTACATTTAGTGTACGTTTTATAAGATAAATTGGCATGTAGAGTTAATAATAAATAACACGATTTATAGTCAATAATAAACTTAAATCGTAAGTAAATCGTAACTTTTTATTATTCCAATCAAAAGAAAACATTTTAAAATAATGAAAATTGACTGTTGCAATTATTTTTCTACAATCTCAGATCCAACAACTATAGTGAATAGAATACAAATCAATAACGACGTAACGTATTCAATATACCATATCGTCATTGCTAAACAAAACATAATTAGCGTACCATAGAAAAAACAATATTCCTGTAATACGTTATGACTAAAATGCCATCTTGTATTTAATATCAGTGTAACGCGGGGGCGAGAAGACAAAGGAAGGTAATTTATCAAATTCCTTCTACCTTCGTTTATCCTCATCTCTTTTAAGACGTGTAATTTTCTTTTGCCCCCTTATTAGTACGTCTGAGTACATTGGTATTTGTTATATCATTCTTTATTATTCTTGCAAACATAAACAATAATATAAATATGTATTAGGATTGAAATTCTATTGACAAACATTACAACCTTAACTTATGCATTCATTTAATCCGTTGTTCACTTAGGTCAGATGGTTTGTTTAAGTTGTTCAATATTTTGCTGCTGTTTAAACTATACTTTTTTCAACTGACTAGAAAACAAATTGTGTGAAATAGTTATTTGTGTACCTAGTGAGCGAAAAGGCACTTTGCACTCGCATTACACACTATATTTTCCATTTTCCCTACATTTACTAACAAATCATATAAATAATTAGTCTTTCAAACACTATACATATACAACACGTTTATAGGTTAGGATAAATCCAAGCGTGAACGAAATGTGAAATGCTGCACCAGCTGGTCGGTGCTCGTAATATCTTAAAGTGTTGCCAACTTATTTTTCCTAAATCAGTTGGCCTTCCTTGCACTGATTACAGCAGAGAAAGTTGCTAATTGCTGCATTTACTTACTTTTGCCGCACTCTTTTTTTACGCACTCCAATATTCCAACCAAACAACACAAATCAGCGTGCTTTTATTAGGAACGTATTACGTGTACGCTCGAAAATAAGTTGGCGACACTTACAGATATTACGACTACGATTATCTGGTTCAGCAAAGTGCTATTAAGCTATTTTACCCACTAGATACACAAATAACTATTCAAGCGTACACAGTCGAGTAAACGTTTCTCTCGTTTGCAGCAAAGCGCCACTTTGCACACTAGTTACGCAAATAACTATTGAACGGGAACATTACAGTTTGTCAATAAAGAGTAGTAATGCAAGTCCACCACATTAGTATTCCGGCGAAGTGCATGTTTCATTACGTCATTACAGGGGTAAGGTTGGCAATACTGATGTGATCAGCTGATCATGTCTGTCATTGTTGTCAGAGTAATCTATTTACGCTTTACAAGAGACGAGTTAATGTCGTATAAATACTCGTTTAACAAAACTAATTTTGCACCGGCTGAAATTCAATAATTTAGGTTCGATTGACTTTTAATTATTGTTTTTAAAGGGTGTAAATATATAACGTACTTGTACGTGTATGATTTACATTCAAAATATAGCTAGCTTAATTACAGTTTTAACTGGCGAAATACTAATTGATTTCAAATGTAAATCGTTTTGATTGAGCGTGCGATGATCAAATGAGTTTATTGATAGTATTATAATTAAGAAACCATTTTATAAATCGGGACCAAAGTGTTACTGTATACATTTTGTACTGATGATAGTAGTCTTTCTAACCCTCCAATGTTACACTTCCAAAGGCAAAACACTTTTCATTTTTTAAACATACAACACACATAGCCTTTTTATTAAAATTTACTATCGTAAGAATGGCAGAGAAATGTTCGGGATCTGAGGGTTGATTAGTTATATGCAATAATAGTAAGTAAATTACAAACAAGTAAATGAAACATGTCTAAAACACTTAAAATATATATTTACACTCTTATACTATTAACTGACAAGACGGTAAAAGAGATATAAAAGATGGTAAGTAGTGATACATTTTGATGGGACATGGGACACTCCAATCATCATCGGACCCGATAGGCGATTCGTACAAGGCTGATCAATAAATTATTTACTTAATTATATTATAAATAAAGAATTATTTTGTAAGTTATACCAAAGATTACATATGCTTTGGTTATACACAACGTAAAGTAGATACAGATGAGCCAACTACAGAATGCCGATACAAACAAAAACAAAAACTTTAAGCACATAAAGTAACACAAGAACAAAGAAATCTCTACTTTAAACTTGATAGATTGCAGGCATATGTAAATGGAGCGGTGTACAATATGTGACACATGGTCGTGATAAGACGTGTATAGCGGACGTCTGGGACAGCAGTCTCTGATAACACAAAACACAACTGAATATCTCAGGTTGTTTGACTTTTAAATGAAGAAACGCATTGAACTACGGATAAAAACTTATGCTAAAAATGGGACATATAAACGTCATGCTCATAATAATGTTTAAATATATTTTATGTAGTACCTTGATATAACGAGCCATCAAAGTTTAATTTATTAGACAACCGGAACCGGACAGATGAAACACGATTAGGAATAAATCTACTTATCTTACACCAACACTGTATCCTATTCCTTTATTACTTTTGGTTCGGCCAGTAGTATTGTTTTCGTTACGTCTGTGTGCGTAATTCGTGTCTATTTCATTAACTAGTCTACTACAGACCTCCACCGAGGAATTTTTTATGAGATTTAAATGTGGTGACGTTAATACCTGCATCACGGAAAATCAGTAGCTAAATTACCTGCAACAGCGTGTTAATCTTTTTTCTTTTTTTCTACTCCAGTGACATTTTTTATCGAGTCAATGTTAGTTTAAGTTCAAACGCTTTTAAGGAAATGCGATCAAGTGTTGTAGATGTGTCAGGAATTGAACCCGTCCCTCCCGCACAGAGGCCCGAGACGTTAACCACTAGGCTGGCAACACACCCAAAATATTGACCGAAATACTCATTACTTCGTTTAGTGTACATATTCTACTCACTGCGTTTCTCGGAGTTGGCTTGTAGGTAGGCAGTGATCCAGTTGCAGTGGTAATCTCTCTTGGCTAGCAGACAGTCTCGCCGCACCAGCTGTTTCACCAGTCTCCCGCCAAGGCGCTTCACGTCTGCCTGTAGACTGCGCACCATCCCCGCCAGCTCCGCCACACCTGCGCAAACGTACAAAGTAGGTATTTTAAGCCAAGTATGAATGAAGAAGAGTGTAGGATGAGTGGCGCGATCTTGTAGTCTTGTTAGTGACTAAGTTCAACATATTCCTTAGACACAGCAGTTAATTTAATGCCCATACAGCTAATGGCAACTAAGGGACCTACAGTTTATAGAGGAATCCGAACCAAATTTTTGCCTTGGTATATACGAATTGGTCTAATTTTCAGGATAGTACTGCGGATAGTCGTAGTACTCACTCGTGCGGATGTTAATCCACACCAGGAATATAGCATCCACAGTGCATGCATATAAATATCCACAGTTCGTAACCCCAGTTCTTGGTCAATGGTCAGGTGACACAGCACAACATTACTACTTAGCTAGCAGACAGTCTTGCCAGCTGTTTCACCAGTGATAAAGCTAGTTATGCTATACATCTTGATAAACATCTTAATGTATCTTGTATGTAGTGCCTATGCCACAATAAAGCCAATTTTTTTACAAAAGTAAGTAGAAGTATATGTGTTGAGTAATTAGGTTGTCTTATTAACCCAGTGGACTGCCCCATTTTGCCAGTTTAATTAACATGAGCCAAAATCAAACGTCCGCTCAAAAGTCACACATCAACTTAAATTGTGTTCATCATTCAATGTTTTTCAAAAACAAATGATTCAACACTTGGGAAGTCTACGGTAGGTGAGGTAAACAAACATAAATTCCCCTTAGTGAACACAACACATGCATTTCCTCGTGCATTTCAACGTGAGTTTACCAACCAATACACGTGCAATACAGTATATATTTTATACTATTGTATGATAAGGGGCGGAAGCTGATAGCGGAGTGATACCAGCAACATTTCTCTCCACGACACGGAAGCACGTCACTCCGGCCTCCTTAGTGCTTCCTATAGTCTGAATTGACATTTCTGTCTGTTATATAGATGTTGAGTTGTCAAAATAATTTATGCAAATGATAAATAATAATTAACAACAAATAATGTGAAAGGTACAGGTATTGAGATCCGTTGTCAAAATGGTCTTGACCAACAGGAGGTGGGCCCATCGGATGCGTATAAGGTCCAGAAGAATGGAGGACGTATTAGTGGAACACAAAAGCGAAGTTAAAAATACGAAGAAACGATTGCAGCATATCCGTAAACATCAGTGGCGATCACGATGACATCGTAAAATCTTCCGCGATCGTTGCTACATCCGTGACCACTCAATCGTGATGTTTACTTGAGATTACGTGAAAAGAGAGCCAAAAAACACAGTTATGAATGGGCACGTGACTGTAGGTTAATAAAGGTGACAATTAAAAACCCCGTATCAAAACACAAATACATGACATCACCCGGTCAGTCTTAACCACCATTCAGAATGGTACTTATTAACAGTTATAACAGCATTTGCAAAAAATATTTCTAGCTTCTATTTTAGATTTGCCTAAAAAACGAACCATTTGTAAACAACTTAAACATCAGTGACAGTCTGCAGAAAGAATTGACAATCAAAGAAGTACTAACAACTGATATGTATTTCATGACGTATTCTCTGAACAGATGATTTCCTACTAATATTATAAATGAGAATGTTTGGATGTATGGATGTAAAGATGTATGGATGTATGTTTGTGACAAGTGAACGCGAAAAATACTGGTCGGATTGGGCTGAAATTTGGCATGATGATAGCTCACATTCCCGATTAACATATAGGCATATTCTTATTTCAAAAATCCTTTCGGGCTCCGCCCCAGTGGCTCTGGAGTTTCCCATGTTAACCTTATGAGAAATGGAATTATTGAATCTTAACAGCTGTTTCAATTAAACAAGTTGGTTCTGTTCTATGATGTTCAATAGCATTAAAGTTACAAGGATTACCAACAGGGTGCAGCACTATTATTTCTTTTACATTTACATAATTTATGACAACAGCTAATTTGCAACCAAAAGGTGAGTGAGCGTAGCGAACGAACTTCAACCTGGAGGCGAGTTAGCGTAGCGAACGAGCTAACCTGAAGGCAAGTGAGCACAGCGAACGAGCTCCAACCTAAAGGTGAGTGAGCGTGGCGAACGAGCTCCAACCTAAAGGTGAGTGAGCGTAGCGAACGAGCTCCAACCTAAAGGGGAGTGAGCGTAGCGAACAAACTTCAACCAGGACGTGATTGAGCCATGCGAACGAGATAATCTTGAAAATTAAGAAGTTAAACGGGGCAAAGCCCGCGGGTTACAGCTAGTATTTCATAAATGAAGTATGTACACATTAGGTAAAATGTGTTTAACACCGCACAGAAGGTTCGTAATTTTATTTTTGAAGTAGTTATGCCATGTTTTAATAGCTAAAAAGCATTCTTGCCAATCCACTGAATACCATTATACCCCCGCTGCAGCAAACCTGCCGACTATAAGCGAATTTCCATTTGCCTGGATTGATTTTCAATTAATCTATTAAATTAACATTTATGTTATGATTAGCTGCTACAAGGAAACTAATAAAGTGTGTTTTTTATTAAAATATCAATAGCAAAAGTAACCAAAAACTTCATGAATCTACGCATTGTACAGACATAATACTGTAATTTTATTTATATGGATAAAGCCCAGACAGCATTATTATTATACAAAACTATATTTATGTACATTGTTATTTTCAAAACATATTTCATATAGTTCATCTACCACACAGTAAACATTTTAACATAATTCCAAATGTATTTTATGAGTATATATTCCAGTTGTTAGTTTATATTAACATTTTACATCCCCTGTAAATATGTTTTTCAATTAAATGGAACACCTAAACGGATTTTAGTTCAAAAATCAACACTGTTTATTTTAGGAAGAGTCAATTTATTTCCCGTCTAAATAAATATTTGCTGTGTAAACATTACTCCAGAGCTTAGTTAGGGCGTTGGTCAAATATGTAATCAACTGGAAAAATAGAATAATTAAATTCGAAAAGTGCAATTGAAATAAAAGGCTGATTAGTATGCTAAGCTTAGTGAAATTATAATTTGTATTTCGTGAAAGAAGACTTAAGATGAGTAGGGCCATTGACTATACACCTCTAGTATAGTCAATGGTAGGGCCTACAGTATTTTTGCTTCATGAGTTGTAAGCTATTGTAATATAATATATAGCAAACCTTCTGTATATTATCTCTGTACGACATAAAATATAGGAATATCAGTAAAATACTATGATTACAATAATAGTAGTTGAAGTTGCTACGGTTGCTATACTGTAGTATCAGCAACAAATACTATAACAGGAACTCTAGTCTCTATACAGTAGTAGCAACCCTGCTTCCTAGCTTGGCAACATCTATATAAATAAAATGTTGTCTGTTTGTTTATTGTACATTGCGTAAATTAATGAACATTTTGGTTTTATTTTACGTTCCAACGCCTAAGGAACAAGAGAAGCCGAAACGCGTCTTAACTCAATTTCTGTATGTCTGTCAACATGACTCTACTATAGATGTAGACAGGGAGCAAGCTGTTCTAGTGGTGCAGCGCGGGGCTTCGAAACCCGAGGTCCCGGGCTCAAATCCCACCAACCCCCAATGTGTTGTATCTATGTGGTAATGCCGCCACCATCTAGGACTAGACTGAAGTAAGGTGCAAAACAGTTCCGGGGTAGAACCTAATGTCCAAGGATGTGAAGGTGAGACATAAAAATTATTTAGATGATTCATGTAAGCAATTTTCTATCCAAAACCAAAGCCAAACGTTCAAAAAATCTGGAAAAGTGGTTTAACTATGAATATTGCAGGATTTGAAAATATTACCGACTAACTACTTTTTAAATACTTTCAGTGAAATAAAATTGATTGTAAACTGAAACTAAAAAAAAATAATGTGCCAACTAAAACTCACGTTTCTGCTGCAAGTACGCCAGTCTGAAGCTCTCATTGGCCGACGTGTACTCTGTACAACAAGTGTCCTCATACAGAGATTCACAATGTGAGTCATCCAGAGCAGGAGATCTGCCTCTAGCTATCCCAGTGTAGCTTCTACGTCTTGCTGGTCTCGTCCCCTTCTCTCCGTAGATCTCCAACAGAAGGTCGTCCACCATCTGGGAAACTCTTCTTCTGTCGTGAGGCTTCAGACTGTTCCAGGCTTCTTCGTAGCTCTCGTCACACGAGTCAGAAGACATCGTCCTCCAACTCCTCCTCATCGTTTCTAAAATCCTTGTGCGGTTTTTGTACGCGGATTGGTTTCTGTCAAAGGTCTCCTCGCTGAAGGATTTCCTCGGAGCGATATCTGGAGAAGCGCTTGAGTCTATGTTTGCGTCATCGAGGGATATGTCATAGAATACTGAGTCGTTGCTGGCGATCGAGCATTTGCGAACTTCTTGCTTCGGTTCACTTTCTCCAGAACTTGCTTTAGACGTTGTGGATTCTCCGGCGTCGGAAGTTCTCGAGGAACATCCTAACTCTCTCAAGATATCTTCAAAGTCCGGACTTTTCTTTCGTCTCTCCGGTCTAGGAGATTCGTCGACCGATTTCGATCTCGCTGACAAAGTAGGACTCAACTTCGGTAGAGACGTTTCCACAATTGACATCGACCTGTTGTTTCTTAGATCGTAGAAGCTCGCCTTGGTTTTCGCCTTGTCGTCCATCCTTGGATGTATAGGAGGTGAGATAAACCCACAGTTTAGATTACTGTCTTTTTCGTTAAACTTTTTACTCTCTTGTTGGAGCTTTTTCTGCTTTCTAACTCTCTTCTCCTGGGCAGCAAGAGCGTAAATGGCGTTGACTCCTCCACCATTCGCAGAACTTTGTTGGAAGACAACTTCATGTCCTAGAGGGATCGTAGGACTCGGTTGTACCAAGTGAATCACCGGCGATTCAATCGTGAACGGGAGAATCTCTTTAATCTTCATTTTCAACGCTCATTTTCAACCTGCAACACAATTTCACCGTAAATACAACATTCAGGTCATTGCCTTCAAAGTTTACAAACACCATGAATAAACAAAACAGTAATCTGAATGATTATAACACATCAGCTGATTAGTTATCTAACAGCTGGTAAAGTATCAATTGTCAGAGTAGCATGAATATTCAGCAGATGTTACGAGCCCGTATGTGTCGATAGAAGGTGCAGGGTTAAGGAACCTTAAGTGGTTAATCTGAATTAATAGTTCATGTTGCGTATTTTGTGCGATTTTTTACAATTGCATTTTTTAACTTTTTTTCCAAACACTGGTCTTGTTACAATCCAACCTCGATCTCTAGTCAAAACGCATCACGTAAAGAAATACCATTGATATTCGTCACAAAAAGGTTTCACTTGCAAACGACTTGAATATATTTACACATTTAAATTAATTTAAAGTAAGATACCTAAACACGGACTTATAGCATAAAAGGCTAATGTGTATTATATGAAAGTGAGTCACTCCTGTTTAGTGCATTGGGTTTAGGTTAAATCTAAACACAAGGTTATCTTGAACACTTTCAGTGAAACACACTGCAAGTGATAATTTTTATTCCAGCCACATTTGTATTACTTTTATCGATCTTCAGTTCATACAATCACTTATCTTTAAATTTAAAGTTAACAAAATATAAATACCTAAAAAATTAAGAGGGAGTATTACGGATAAGAGAAAAATATATAATACAAGAAAATTCTCAAGTTATGTGCGAAATAAGTGAACTTCGCCAAATGAAAGAGCATTTAGGACTTCTTTGGACGTCTGCAGTCAAATTTGATTTAAAAGTGTTTTCTCGGACCCCCACTTCAATAAGACAATAGTGTTTGGCGTTTAATTGTGTTTTCTTGTCTCTCTCTTAAACGTTCCACTGAGAGTTTAACGTATTTTGAGGACAAAAAGAAGACGGACTTTTTATCTTTTAACGACTACAACTATCTTTTATTTAGGCACTTCATTGGCAATCACTAATTTTGATAGATCTTTTTCAGAACTGATTAAATTTTAAGGGTTTGACGTTAAAAAATCGTTCAACATTTCAACATGTAGGGTTTAGTATAAAGTTTCAGAACCCAGTTAAAAATTGTATTGCATATCGTATTCCCACACTTAATGGTGGACTAAAACCACAATTAAAACGGTAATATTTATTATTCTATATGCATACAAGAAACAGTGTTAAATGAAATAACAGTTGTACCTAAGCTTTTAAATCATACTAGACGTAAAATATGTGATTCACAGCTACAGTATACAATAAAATGAGTTTTCTGTAAATATGTCAGCGACATTGGGCCACTAATTTTTGTGGGTTAGAAAATCAGCATCCTCAATCCTAATTATAAACGTATCAAAATGTTCAACACGTCAAACGAAAAGAACAGCGAAGCTGCATGGAAACTAAACTACGCCGGTTTCAGTCTGGTGATATCTCACAATGTTATCGAAGTCGTGAATCTATTCAACCGACACAACTTCATCTATTGTTGGTTCGGTGAGTCACAAACAGGTAAAGTAAAGTCAATACGGAACTACAGTATTCAATGCTGAACACTTGTATGCTGTATGCTGCATTCCTACTGAAATGTCATAGTGGTGAAAATGACTCATGAATAATAAGGGGAAAAACAAACATGAGTTTATGTATGTTTTGAAACCGTCTGTACTGAGAAGGTCTCGTCCTCTTTGGAAAGGAAACCTCTTCTGAATTAATATATTGTGATCTAAATTGTAACCAAAAGTTATTGCAGCTTTACTTATTACATTGGAAATAAATTTAGGTTAAGTGACGCAGTAGTGATTCGATTATTGAATGAATGCTAGTTAGTTATTTGTGGCGGCTCTACTAAAAAACGTCAAAACGCATATATGGTGTCATAAGTCAAATAAAAGGAATACGTTTTGAAATATTGCATGTATTTTTACAATTAAAAGTATTGATAGCAATGATTAGAAACTTCTTCACAGACCAGCATATGCTAAATTTGAAAAACTGTTGAATGGTCATTAATCTGTATAATTTAATACAGTAGGTGGACTTAAGGTAGAATTATATAGCTAGGCTACACAGTTTATTAGCTAGGTAACTGAGTGCATTGAATGCTCGCCTGCTGCACAAAGGTTCCCAGTTCGATCCAGGGTGAAGACAGTTTTTATCGTTCGATAACCTAACTGTCTTGGTCGTTTACTTCTACTGAAGAACTTTATGCTATTCATCAATACACCCTCATTCTCTACACTCTTCCATAACTAATTTTCACCTAAGCAGCCTGGTGGATCAACGTACTAATCCGATTTAATATACAAACTAACTCGATTACCCAAGGAAATCTGACATCAGCGACCCGGATAAGGAACGTCAGCTGTTGTAGGTGTTAGGTGTATTGTGATTGTGTATTGTGTTTCGTGTTGTGGCAACACTTGTGACAACATTACCAGTACTAGACCCGACAGAGACTTGGATAGGGAATCAACACTCATAACCCTCATTCATTTTTTATCCATGACTAACAGTCAGCGTCACTTAGTGATATATATTTGATGATATGTCCGTGCGCGATCTCTTCGAGGCACCGTAGAAAGTTTACAAATACTAATGAAACATACTATGAAAACATAAAATCAAACGTAAATGATTTTCTTATTTACATTTCATACAAATAACATAACAATATTTTACTTGAACTCACTAAAACATCACCAACTGTAGCTATATATTTGGAGCCAAATTGTATCATGGCGATCTGTTTTGATGTGAACAAATGTTAGCTTGAAAAAGTTTAAATGATTGATGACAACAGAATTCAGCACAAACTATGAAATATTAAAAGCCTGTAAGACTAAGGGCTTTCACGGAATATTATCCAAACCTGCAAAAGGCACATCTAGAGGATGAGAGCTTTAAATTATTGATACCTAATCTGTCTGTAAAAATAAATATTTATGGGTAAATTTGCTGTATACAAACGTCCAACGAACTCTTTTAATACATTTTATTTAGATATTGATTCGCTTTTTGATAGTTGAAACTTGACTTAGTTGTCCTAGATCGTTGGTTGATCCTGAAGACAATTGAGAACTGATATTCGTCAGTAACAAAGCTACACACAGAATCTCACTCTACATTTTCCATTCACATTTTGAGGTAAAACACGCCCGATAGTCTCCATCACAATTGTCCAATAGTGATTGTAATTGTAATTGGAGGTATGAAATGAGTAATTGAAGCAACCCGAGACTACAGTGCAGCACAGCACAAGGTTGAGGTGATAACAATGCTTTCACCCATGATAGCGGCGCGTTGAACTGACACTCTACAGGAAACCGCAAAACGCTTCCATGGTACACAGCTAAGTTTTAAATTAAATTCATCCCTATAGTGTTATTTGTTTAATGTAATTATTGTTGTTACGTCAAGAAATAGGTGTTTGAAAGCTGAATATGATCTTGTTATATGTTTCTGACGTTTAAACAACAGTTAATAGTACATTTTTAAGCTTACTGTTAAATAGTTGCCTATATAAATAATACTTTTTCATCATAGTGTCAGGAAAGCATCAGTTTTTAGTTCTTTATAGCCAAATCATCGTTTTCGGGTAACTTTAAATAGGGAACAGTCCAAGCTGGGCTGCGCCTCACTTGTAAAACACGATTGCGTACCAAAAAGAGCCACTTTCGCCCCTAGTGACGAACACTACTATACGAATTTTACTTCACGATAGTAAAGTCGATCATAAAATACAACATGTAGTATTTTGTATTCAGTGGTGATATTGCAACCGTGTTTTACAGTACTTATAACGAGTTTTCCCTCTAGTTTAATTTCCTAAAGGAACGGATAAAGTAGCTAAGTAGTTTTTTTTGTAATTACAAAAAAACTACTAACCCAAGTCTCTAACCGCACAATTGAGAGAAAACACGGATAGTTTAATTAGTAGCCAGTGGTAAACATGCGTTACTTAATCTGCAGTTCGTTTAGTAATTAGATTGGTTGTTGTATTTACAGTACCTCTCGTTGGGTTTGTCGTCCCTCGTGTTTGCCAACCTACACATTGGTATTGTGTTGGTGGTTCAGTTAATAAATAAACGTCTACTGCAAAGCATAAGTTGAGTTTTGTTAACTTTCAAAATTGGATATAGATCCAGTATCGTTACTGCAAATAGACATCCCTCCACAACAACATGTACGATAACATGTTTAAATTTCCTTTACGAGTAAGGTTCGCTAATTTTGACCATCGATATATAATTACATCGATGATTTTGACTAAACTTTAAAACCCTTAGGGTAAATTTTAACTTCCATTTTATCATTGTGTATTGAGTTGTGTTTTTTCTCTATAATGTACTAAATATGAAAAACACTGGTGTGTGACGACATACTCCAGTTTATTTTAAATTAAAATAAATATGTATCTCGAAAATAGTTTGACCTATTTATATTTTTGACAAAGTAATGTCGATTTTAAAACAATTAAGCTGTTTTTCTACCTATATTTCAGTACATAATCATAGATAAAACATCTACATCAAAACTTTGTTCAGGCGATGCGTTCACTTGCCAGACAATGTGCAATTATTAACAATACAATATGCAACGAAAATGCAAATAAAATATTTAGGCTTTGCATTATTTTAAACGCTGAAATACAAACGTATTTGTTACAGATCATTTAAAGTTTTTTACAGTTTCGAATCTTTTTAAACTTTATTTCAACATTGAAGTAAATCCAATTTTAAGTTGCATTTCCAACATTAAAATAATTATTATCGCACAAAATCAACCTTCTTTCATCTTACAGTGATTTTGTAAAGACAAAATTAATGAAACCAATGTACGAAAATCAAAATTTGGCCTGTATATGTAAACAAGCTGCTACACCCGTGCTTTGCAACGGGAAAAAAATTTGACATAGAGTACTATTAAAGTAATTCTGATGTGTGTTTTAAAATTTCAGCAACTCTATGATTTAGTATGAAAATATAAACTGATTTAAAAGTGTAAACCTACTTACTTTCAAACTCCTACTTTTTATGTTAATAGATCCAAAATGACATGCTACCTTAGTGTAGCAATAGCATCAATTGCTGCTTCATATTGATGCTTCACGAATGACATGTTTTACGATAACTCTTCAACTTTAGTCAAGGCTCTTTACATGTAGCTTACTAAATAAATTAAAAAATGAAACTTTGAGCAATACTTTACAAAACGTATACCTACAACCTTTCTTTCAAACCAAACATAACCCTCCTAAATCTACATAAAGCATCACAAACATCTTGATCGAGTAAATAAACAAACACCAGTTCATTGTACTGACCAGCTGTTTCATTAACTAAATTAAATCATGTAAACTTTGGAAGCATGCCACGCGTAGCCCTTTGGAAATCAGCCTGTGAGGCAGAGCCCTTAGGAAATTCGTCCATATCAATACTTTTCGGCAAATCTACACATTCTAAGCTTAATTTTGATGTGAGATATGCCTATATTTTTATTTGGTAAATTGCCTTAACCGTTTACATAAAATTTGATTGTATCACTTTAATAATATAATAGATAGTTACAAAATTTCCTCAGTAACTAAATCAGTAAAATGGTATTTACACAATATACAGTCTTGCATACACTCGAACGTTCTTCGAGACCAATTAAATAATTCAACTTGAATTGTTCACAAATGGTGTTAATTATGTCATTAAATAATTTAGACTTACCTTATTGCAACACTTTTAACAATCGAAGTCAGCCATCAAACACCACATACACAATAACAATTTGCTATTTGCTTTGATTGAGTTAAAACACCGAAAGTAAGAAAGTAAAAGGACAGAAAGTAGAACGCACTGATACCGGGAGCACTAGTCAACGTGGTCACACAACTGTTCTGTTATCACCAACGATACCAGCTGTGTTACCAGCTGACTAAAACAGCTGTTGTAATGATCACACATCACGCGGGATAACAAGACCTGTGGGGACGAAACTAGACCTCCTCGACCCTTAATTAATTTGACGCAAAATGTGTATTACGAATAATTGTGTTTGAGATTAAATTTTGGATTTTGTAGTAGTAATTCCATCCACAATGTAGATCAGCTGTTGCTAGGTTTTTTCTTAAAGATAGTTGAATATGGGCCCCTCATATAGCGTGTATATATTTGATCTTTTATTAGCTGTTGTACCCATGCTTTGTAACGGGGAGAAAAATCAGTTTCATGATCATTGAAATAGATCTAGGATAAACTAGCTGTTACCCACGGGCTTCACCCCGCGTTTCACTTCAAAAGTATTAATAAAACTATTGATTGGTCAAGTTTAGCTGAAATAAACAAAACAGAACAGGTACAGTAATACCAACAAATAATCACACCTGACCTGTAGGTAATAAATTGAAAGAATAACACAAATAAGTACAGCTGAGGTATTTTTAACATTAGGTATAATGGAGAGTTCCCTTTTGAAAGCAATTCCGACCTTATAGGACAATTTATGAAATAATGGATAGTTTTGTGCAAGGTTTCTCGTCATGACGAATATTTTATGTATATTATTTATGGGGGTGTGAATTGTAGTTTTCTCAAAAGTTCATGGGTACTTTGAGCTTTATAGATAAAATAATATAATAACATTTTAGATCAAATAATCCTACGACCTGTCTAAAATTGTGAAATGACCATTTGGCATTTATGATTGTTAACATTTAACACTCCATGCCCAAAAAAGCTAGGAATTTAACAAAAATTTATAAAATTTCAGTTGTTTTCTAAAAAGTGTTCTACAGTTCTTTCTGAAAATTACCATGATATACCATGGTAACATTTTTATAGTTTTTTTTTTCATTTTTTAGAAATTTTGATTTTTAATGGGATTTTCACATAAAACCCCACAAAATAACGGAAAAATCAAGATTTTCCCAAAAATGGCCTGAACGATGATGATAAAAATTTAGTATGTTTAGTCCTTTATACTCTGAACAAAATGGTACAAATCCCATTTCTGTAAAAATTACGGTTCAAAAGTTTTGAAAATTATGTTATTTTCCCATAAAATAACGGAAAATGGATTTTCTAAGAAATGGCCCGAACGATTTTGATAAAAATTTAGTATGTTATAGTTGTTGAAATTACTTATAGTACTTTGTGTAATGGCAAAATGTTTGCCTCCTAGAAACTGTCAAATAGTTAATAGCTTAATATCATATGTTGTTGGTTTTGTGTTATGTAAATAAGATCAATAATGAAGAATGGTTTGAATAGAAATAAAGTTTGTTACAAGTTCATCTATGTCCTTATTTAAATGTTAAAAGCTATAATTAAAAGTAATAAAAGTAAAAGTAAACCTACAAAAATAAACAGAAGGTTATGGGCCCAGTCCCAGTAAAAGCTTGTAACAATAACTAAAAATATTTATGTGAAAATAAAATAGAAATAAGGGTAAGATGACATCAGTAAATAGTGATGAAATAGTGTGCATACAAAAACTGAAAGACTCTAGCACATTTCCTATGTGGCATTTTGAGGTAAAAATATTATTTACTGCAAAGAAATTAATGGACATAGTGGATGGAACAGAACTTTTGGCTAAATGTGGACGTGATACAGACAAAATTGAGAAATGGAAGACAAAAGATGCAACTGCTAAACATGTAATATTGAGAACAGTTGATAACAAAGTGAAAGTCCGTCTCATGCCATGTGAAACAGCAAAATAAATGTAAGATACACTATTGAGAATATACAGAAAAGACTCTGGTCAACAAAAATGTTTACTACTTCAAGATTTTTACAATTTCAAGTTTGATCAATCCAAAGATGTAAATACTAATATTAGTGAAGTTCAAAACATTGTTTGTAAATTAAAATGTCTAAATGAGGAAATCACAGAACAAATGATGATTTCAAAGATAATGACTATCCTCCCGGAACGCTTTAAGCATTTCAGCAGTGCCTGGGATTCTACTCAGGAGACAAACAAAACCCTCGAGAATCTTATTGCAAGACTGACTCTAGAAGAGGATAAAGTGAAAATGGCAAGTAAAGAGGATGAAAACGTATCTTTTAAAGTGGAAGCAAATTATGGAGGTAAGAAGAAGAAAGTAACATGTTTTTCGTGTGGTACAACAGGACATCTTAGAGCAAACTGCCCAAAGAGATGGTGCTCAATATGTAAGAAAAACAATCATGATGAAAACAACTGTATATTTAAAGTCTGTCGAATTTGTAAAAAGACAAATCATAGAGAGGAGGACTGTTTTTTTAGGAATAAAGGTAAGCCTGAACAAAATACATTTAATAAAAGTCACAAAAACGCTAAAATAGCTTTTTTGAGTAAAAGTGAAAAATGTCTAAACGAATTATGCCAATTCATTGTAGACAGTGGAGCAAGTTCTCATATGGTAAGTCAAAGTGAGTATTTTAAAGAAATTTGACAATGTTCTGAGAAAATAAATACAGCTAAAAATGGTCAAAGTATGTCTGTAACAGGGGTTGGTTCAATTGAATATGATGAATGCTTATTAAAAGATGTGTATTGTGTTCCTGAATTATCTAAGAATCTTATGTCTGTAAACAAAATCACAGAAAACAACGGTTCAGTATATTTTGACGATAAAAAAGTATACATTTTAAATGAAAAAATTGAGTTTCCAGAAAACTGTGATGTGATTGAGGGTGATAAAGCTAAGAAAGGAATGTATATAGTAAGTATAGTACTTTGTGTAATGGCAAAATGTTCTGTCTCCTAGAAACTGTCAAATAGTTAATAGCTTAATATCATATGTTTTTGGTTTTGTGTTATGTAAATAAGATCAATAATGAAGAATGGTTTGAATAGAAATAAAGTTTGTTACAAGTTCATCTATGTCCTTATTTAAATGTTAAAAGCTAAAATTAAAAGTAATAAAAGTAAAACTACAAAAATAACAGAAATAGTCCTTTAAATTCTGAACAAAATTGTACAAATCCCATTTCCGTATATTTACTCTCACCGCTTACACATTCTCAGGTGGAGTGCCGCCTTAAATGTTAAAATGGTGAATTTTCTCATGCTTCCATGGAGACCTAATACATTTACTTTTGAAAACCTCAACTCAAAATTTCAAACATCCAAGGGGCGTAGCCCAAGAGGAACTCAGGGAAATGAATAGGCCGATGGCATTCCTAGATATGTGGACCATCTTTGTGCTTAATTTTGGCTTTATCGGTTTAGTTATTTAGTCGTTACAGCTGCCCAGACAGACAGACACCATCTCAATTTGATAATAGGGCTATTATGGATAGATATTAGATGGATAGATATATTTTGACTATTGATACAACCAGAGGTTCCATCCCCATGTTCATTTTTTTGCCAGTTTTTTTATTAGATTTGACGTAGTTGAAGAATTGAGTCATTGACAGAGTTGAGTTGTGTGTGCTGTTGCAAATTACTGATTTCTGTTGAATACACCAACTTTTTAACCAAGTCATACTGATCGGACGATTTATGTAGGCCCTAAGCTATTGCATCTGACTTTCCCTATCAACTACATATATCGTTAACGAAATAAGCAAGAAAGTAGAAATTTACACACTATAGTTCGGCCGCTTAGAAAACGACCTGCGCGCTAATGCTAAACCAATGCTGGAGGAGGTCGCTTTCTACGCGGCCGAACTATAGTAGACTCTGTATCAGGCTCATTAAACAAAGTGTACCATACTTTCAGACTGAGATACCCAGAGGAAGCGCACTGATATTGCCCACATGTCTCTTTACTTTCATCTCGGAAAAACAATATTGGACCCAAGGCATATGAAAGTTTGATAAGCACATTTCCAAGCACACTTCAGTCATAAACTCTTAATTTTATAGTACTCCAGGAAGAGATGTTTCATACAAGGCGTGGTAGATGGGTGACAGCGAAAAACTAATGATGATGAGAATTCTGCAATACGCTAAATGGTTTTCCATGCCACCAAGATCGTTCAATAAGGCTTCCGTGATAACGCGACGACAAGGGGTCTTTTGGTGGCACCACCGCCGTCGTCGCCACCAACTATGCAAGTGAACGGGTCCATATTATGCTGTTCTTAATGGATGCCAATTTACAAGTAGAATTTTAAAAGGTTGCTAACTATATACCGAAACAGCTTAGGACCTCTTTGCCCGTTAAATTATGACGCTATTTAACAAAGGATCAACATCAGATTGTAACAAGACATTCCAAAACAAACAAAAATACATCGCAGATGACATGTCCCCGAAAGTCTCTGCCAGACGCAGGATCTTGTCCAAGAACAGTACTATAATAACTATATTTAATAGGCCTACTGGATTACCAATTAATAGGATGGGAATTTATAAAATAGAGAATTATAAAAAAATATGATTTATTACAAAGAGGTTTATCCCAATTATATAACTGTACCAACTATACAGTGCATGAAGTATAAAAAAATTGAATAGCATATAATAAGAAAACAGAGGTGAACCAAATAACTGCATAACTTTTACTATTACACAACTTATTGTTTTGTAGATTATGTATTTCATGATTGAGTTAGCTTTAATTTTAAACAACAATACTAAGCAAAGTAAAAATAAATATTTGCTACAGTAACAATTTCTTATGCCTTAACCTACATTAACTGATATACAGCATTTATACAATGAGTAACAAAATTCAAAGGAACTGTCAGATTATTTTATACCAGTTGGAATGACAAAGGAAATATAATCCGCAGTCTCTCCCCATTCTGTCCGATGTGTCTGGAATATGTAGATCCAAACTGCAATGACAGCTGCCCAGATGGAAGCACCAATCCCAGACAACACTACATCTGCAACAGTATATCATTTATTAGATTTGATACTATTATCTGAATTACAAGGGTTATCATCCGTAAATTAAGGCCTCCATTGTGTTTCCATCACAGCTAACCTATCAAGATTAAAATTTAAATCCAAGACTAATGTCGTGTTTCTCTTTCTTCCATCTATTACTATTACTAATGGTTATGAGATGATAAGTCTCGTCAATGTATTTGAAAACAAAATGAAAATTGACAGGCACTTGTTGATTTCTATGGTCAATCTTTAATTAGCATCGAAGTCTAGCACTAATTGACAGGTGTTGATGGAGTTTATCTAAGAAAATGTGCACAAGGAGTGGGGGAGTACGAAGTTGGCCTTTTCCTGTTGTAGACACACTGCTGTCGATCATCAGTCGTATTTGAAACAATGACCAAAGTGAACACATTTTGAACTTGGATTGCGGTGACTAAAATAGAGGGATTGTCGAACTAAACAGAGGACGCAGATCATCAAGAACTATGGCCATATCATGGAACTCCTTAACACACCAACCAGCAAACAAAGTTTCTTAAAATTCATTCACTGCCTTGACAGAAGCCCGCTGCTGGCCCGTTGTGCAGATGACTATGGTCTTCTGCGATCTCTTAAGCTGAAACAACTATCGCCAGCTTTCCATTTAAAAACTTAAGACTTCCACAAATTTTTCTTGAGATACATATGGGCTATAACATTTTTATAAACTTTTACATAGCCACTCATACTTACACCTTTGGATTTGCTTTTGTTCTTCAAACGGTGGTTTTCTAAATGCCTCTTGGAAGAACCAAACAGCATTCACCAACCATACAAAGGGCAAAAAGGCGAATCCAGCTGAAATGTAACAAAATTTCTCTTTACAAATTATGTACCGGTATACATACTGTAGTTTTAAAATTCTAAGGATTAAGTAGGCCTACTGTAGGTCTACCCATTTACTATTTATCAAAAGTGGCAAAGTTTGATTTGTACTTTACCTTTATTGTTCATGTTTAGATTGTTTTTTGGTTAACACGTTAGCTACCGATCGCCACATGTTTGCGACGCTGCGTTGATTGCCACGGCCCAAGATATATACATTTTATTATTACACATAGACGGGACATGTCACTTGGGTGTACATGCAGACCACGGGCCAGTGTTAAAAAGTTTTTCCAACTATCATGTGACGTCACTAATCATATCCACAGACCAAGTGACGCAAATGTGACAGACATCCAGGTTGTAGACCACTGCAGAGAATTCAGTGGCTTTAAATAGACCGTTACAAAGATATAAGCTTTTGAATAACATGTGCACACCAACGCAAATATGCAAGGTCATTCTATTTTAATGTGACCAGCTGTCGTATCTACGACGGCAGTCTATGGGTAGAAACCGGCCGTCACATAAGCTTCTGTGCTAGTCCATTTCACAAATTCTTGAACAAAAGCAGTTTGGATCATAAACAAATGACACTGCTTGCCTAAATCCTACGAATAGCATTAACATATGGTTTAAACAGTTCCATTTGAGCAATATTAAACAATGATTACTTTCAAGCCAGTAATTTGTTAGGTACTTTGGTATTGTCTGGAGGCCACTTATTTTAAAGGGATTTCATTTACATAGGCCTACAGGAGTTTTAAATAACTACAAAGTTGGAAAGAACATACTTTAATTGACATACTGTATACAAATTTGACACAATTACAATTAGTGGCCTTTGAGTTCTGCCTCCCAGAAGGCAGTGATGTCGGCGAGGGTGAGTTGAATGCGTCGCCACCGGTAGCTGCCACATGTTCATGTACTCCGCCAAATAGGTATACAGCACGCTGCAGAGGTTATGTTAGGTTGGGTTATCATATATAGCCTATGTTTGTAGGACTTTCTTCGTTTCGTTATGAATCAATGAGTCACACTCAGGACACTTAACTCCAAGATACAGGCGGTGACAGGTGATGCGCACGCTACGGTCAACGACCTGATCTTGGCCAACTTTGAGGGGATTTGGTGGTCAAAAGTATGACTCATCTGGTATTGTTTGATTCATAATGAAACGAGGGAAGTCCTACAAACATATTTATGATAACCCTTTAACCTAAAATAACAGCAGTAGCGCGCTGTATAAGGGTGACCTCCAGATAATATCAAAGTACCATTTGTTAACGATTACGATCCATACCGGGTCTGTTCTAGTATTCCTGGTCCATATGAATGAAAAATTTAGTAAATAATGATAATTTAATACTTTTGCGGTAGCGAACATGTTAAACGAGGTTTAAAATGACTACCTAAAATAACAAGAAACAAATTGTAAACAAAACACAAACTTTACAGTGCACGGGACATAGCTTAACTAAGTAGGCCAAACAATGAAATTGGCTGCCATAACCTAACCTAGGTACTTAACCAACCAAACTTGCAGATAATGAAATAATATCTAAAGAAGGTAATTACTAATCAAACCGAAAGGATCAATCTATATTAGCATAAGTTAGTCCAGTTAAGAAACTGTACCCATTTCCTCTTCACCGGCTCGTTAGCACGTTCGCTGTGGCACGTCAAATGGCAGGTGTATCCCCAGTGTGGTGCAGCCTGCAGCGTCGAACAAACCCGATTGCCGCATGTGATTGGCTTTCCAATTTCGGTCTGACGAATAGCAAATAAACTTAACGTGCGGGGATGTCCTGCTTTACGACGAGAGTCGAAGTAGTTCGCTTAACACCCACAGATAGCAGCACTGCTTGGAACGTAGCCGGTCCCATTCAAATTTTACTGCCAAATGGAGGGAAAAAGACAGGACAAAAAGTTGATTTATAGCCTAAGCTTGCCAGATGGGTATTTTTAACAGGGAAATTTACTACCAACCTACACCACAACAAAATGCAAGTCACACACTACACGCTGCAAAAACGAAGGTATGTAAAAGGCATTGCCGAGCGTTCCCGATCGGGTACGTACGGGAGACCGAGCACCGTACCAGATCGGCAACGGCCGCACTCACCGTGTTAAACTAGGCTACTAGGCCTAGCCTAGTTGATTGCAGTCATGTCAAAATTCATGGCCTATTCTATTTATTGGGGATTTGATAATTAATGCAGCATAAGATATCAGAAGATGCTGAGTTATAGTTTTCAGTCATGTTCCACAGTGGCGATTCTTGTTGAGAGGTTAGAAGTACTGTAGTGATAGGCAGGAATAGGTTCAAGTTGTCTAGACCTAGGCTAGGCCTGGATGGTTATTGTTATTTTACAATTTAGCTTATTTATATTAGGACAAATTAACTTACCACGAAAATACCATCTGCAGAGATACAGTTTCTTATCGTTTTTCATTTTGGTGAGATCCATTGCAATCAACTTTAGAATAGAATTACAATGGAAAAAAATAAGGACTAACTCAACTAATCAATGAACAATGCTATGTTAGGTTACCCGTTACCCATTCATATACCCAAACCCAACCCAGTAGCAAAGAAATTACCCAAATCTCAACACAAATAAAAACCCACTCCATTCCCAGTCAGTCCAGTCCCAATATTGTTATTTGCTGGGATAATGGAAAAAAGCACTGAGCTAGTGCACGGTCACGCTAATGGCATATAGTGGCTAGACGGTGGCCGTGCTGTGATCCGGGATTTTCCGGCTGGTCACGGTATGTTTATGGTTTTATCTATGCTGGTAGTCACAACCCAACTGTAAAAAGTTTTACAGATGTACTACATTAGGAGTTTTGTATTTTAGTTGAGCGAAGATCACTTTCCCTCACTTTGTAACTTCTTTGTAAGGGCATCAGAATGTAATGGCTTGACCAATTGATATGAAATTTGGCCAACAGCTAAAGAATACTGAGCACAATGTTTTGGTAAAAAATATTTGCAAATTTCCTTCTGGATTTTATTTTACGGGTCACGCAATTTCGCTTGTTATTTTAATGTAAGTTGAAAGAAAAATTATATTGAGTTTATGACATATGGGTTTATCTCGTTTAATTTAAATAAGATAAACATATGATAATTGTTTGTAACTGTCTTGTTTACATTTCAATGTTTACTTTCATCATAGGTTAAAGTTGGAATATGTAACAGTTTATCAACGGAAGTAACAGTTTTGCTATATTTGTTTTGAGCATGCCTCAAAGGCCACGTCGTAATATTGGTCGTCGCACCGATAATGCAAAATATTGTAAGAGAGTCGTCGTGAACAAGAAGAACCAGATGAAGCAGTGGTGCAAGAAGCTGATAATGATAGGCAGTTAGCTAATCAATTCCAGTGTGAAAATTTAAAAACGTACATTTTCATGTCCCTGGCCTTTTACTTCGTAGATACTGGATTTTTTGTTTATTATTGTGTGTTTTAATATTTTTTGGGACGGGGGCAACATGTTACACACATTTATTTGGTTTTAAATAGGTTCTAGGTATTTTTTTCGTATTTTTAAAGTCTCGAAATTCACGACCATGACGTGTCCCAAGGGTACATTTTCCAACTTTCACGCTGTTTTTAGACTAATTATTCATGCCGAAATATATAAAGCCATATTTTTATGTCATCAATGGTTATTAAACTTACAAAAAAGGAGCATATTATAATTTTATTGTCATTGCAGACTGACTACCATGACAAAATAAGTCTGTCCCTCGATTTGGCGTCACGACCATTTGGGAAAAATTTTCAACTTTGGAGCACGACAGTGGCAAGCCTGGCGTCGATGGAGTCAGTTGGTTTTAGAGACTAGTTCGGGGTGTACGTCAGGATTATAGTGCCGGTCGTTTTGAGTTGAAAGGAGGAATTACAAGATTAATAAAGGAAAGATTGTGTTTTTTGTAATTTTGGTGTGTCCATGACCGTACGTAGTCATTTGATGAAGTAGACATGGTGTTAATTTTTGTTTATAAGATATTTCAATTGCTAGATTAACCTAGAAGTCCACTTTGTATCCTCGAACATGAGGTGCAGGGCTACCGCCAGAACAGGGCCAAATAACACGTAATTTCACGACCAAAGTTTCACGACCATCGCGGTTTTTTCACGACCAATCCAGCCTTATGGATTATAGTGTGTTTGGTCGTGACAATAACTTTCATATAATTGTAAATTGAACAGTTAAGTTCAATTGAAACACATAATTATATTATAACTAACAGTATAATTGAAGGATTGTTTGGAAAGATTTAGATTATTCCAGACAATTCACGACCGTACCGCTTGTCCCTGACCATCACGTTTATGATTTATATCATAAAAATTTCAAAAATTAAAATATCGTCATATTTCAATGTTTTATACACAAAAGAAGCACACCTCTATACAAACATAACGATTTTTCGGGTCTCAGGTAAGTTTTTTCGGAGTTATACAAGCTTAAAAAGATTTTTTGGCTTTTTTCTATTTTTTGAGTTTTTTAAATTTTGTTCTAGAAAGACCAAATATACCAAAAGCTCAGTGACCTTTTTATTGTATAATGGTCATAAAAGTAAATTAGTTTATAGCAAAACATAGTTATAAAAATAATATCAACTATTTTTAATATTCATTTAAACGTCCGTTATGGTCGTGACAGGATTTTGTGTTTTTCTACTAAAGATGCTCTTTAAAAAGAAAACTACCAAAGATATTGCGTTATCATGGACGTTTTATGAAACTTCAAATGTTAATGAAATAAAAAAAATAATAAAAGTTTTGAAAAAAGGGGGGAAAAAATTGCAAAGTGCTTTTCCTGAAAACGTACGTTTTTAAATTTTTACTCTCCAACATGAATTAGATGCACAAAAATGTTACACTTGCACTAACTGTCATCGCCAACAACTAACAGCTTCAAACCAATCACCGATTTGTTCGCGTTGTCGTTCAAATGCAACTAAATTCACGGTGTTAAATAATATGGATGTGTCAGTCAAGTGTCCCGAACGAATTAACTGACCTGACGATTGTAGAACAAATGTTAATTGCACGAGTATATCCTGCTATGCCCATTACAAAGTACAAGCAAATGGTCAGGATGGCCAGTTTCACTACAAAGGTGCAGTATAAACTATCAGATAAATTTGTCATTCTTTAGAATTGAAATAATATCGGGCAAACAAACGGTGAATCTGTTGAAAGGGAACATATTGAAGGGTGTTAGCTGCTTTAGCCATTGACAATCTTTAAATAATGCTTCTCTCATTTATGCGTCTAAAGGGTAACGGCAGACCACCCTAGTTTAATTAATTATTTACCCTATTTACACTGGGATTTGATGTAATTTTGATATGTATACTTACAGTATTTTTAACGCTGAATCCAAAAATGCAATCAGTTTTGGTCGGAGAGATTCCTAAGTGGCCGTACGGTTATATAATTAATATTAAGCTTCAGTTTTGTTCATATATTACCATATTTGTGGTATGGACGAGTCCAAGTTCTAGTGGCGACTAACACTAAAAGGGGTGGAAGGTTTGTGGAGTGGAAACAGCTGTCAGTTGTTTACATTCTATACTAAACAGACAAAACCACACATGACGCCATGAGAGCAAAATCAGAGTTACAATATGCATTAACTAGATTTTAAAAAGAAAATGGACTTTGGTGATGTTTATAAAATACAATAAATCAACTACCATACATAAACTATTAATCACATGAACATAAATTATAAATCAAAATAGAATTTATTCACGTAAAATATCAGTAATAGAAGCTAGGCCACTGCCGACATGATCATCGTCCTCATTCCAATCCTCAACCATTGACTAAGGCCTCAACGTCTGGTAATGAACGTGCCATAGTGCATAATCCCATAGTACATAATCCCATTGTGTCTAAAAGTGAAAACGTGCCACAGTGCATAATTTAATGTATCAGCAACTAATAAATGATGTTACATAATCTAATCTAATCTAACCGAACCCAACCCAACCTTAATATTAATGTTTAAATTGCAGTTTATGTCAGAAAAGGCATGTGAGGAAGATAGGTCGGACTTTATGCGGATTCCTGACTATATTAAGTCCTTTGAAGTGAGGTTAGATTAGGTAAGTTAAAGGTTAGGTTATAATGAACCGACTCGTTAATTTATGCAACTTCCAGACTGTTTTTGCACAATTGAAATAGTGGGTGAAACACAATAAAATAACAATATCAAAAATGCTTGCGCATTTTTGATATCGTTATTTCATTGTGTTTCACCCACTATTTAATTGTGCAAAAACAGTCTGGAAGTTGCATAAATTAATGAGTCGGTTCATTATAACCTAACCTTTACCTTCCTAATCTAACCTCACTTCAAAACACTTAATACAGTCACGAATCCGCATAAAACCCGACCTACCTTCCTCACATGCCTAAATAAGAATTGATCATTTGGTTTCAAAACGAATTGATTTGATTTCATTCCGCATTAGATCAAGTATAAACAGTTGTTTGCTCTTCTCACTCAGTCCTCACTCCTCACTCTTCACTCAGTACGGACCCGTCCAGACCACGCCATATTACCATTACCTTCAGTAGGTACCGCTCAATTATCCTTGTTAGATTCGTAATCCTAACCTTTGTTTTATGGCCGCTACCGCCACTTAGGAATCTCTCCGACCAAAACTGATTGCATTTTTGGATTCAGCGTTAAAAATACTGTAAGTAGATATATACAAATTACATCATATCCCAGTGTAAATACGGTAAATATTTGCCTTAATTTGATATTGCTGCTGATTCTATATGGTTAATTTGGCTAAAATAATAAACACCCTTTTGTTTGTATTTCATATATGCCATAATCCCAGCAGAAAACGTCATTGGAGGCAGTCATTACTCTGTGCTATTTCATTGGATTACTCTATTTTACGTCAATTGTCTGTTGTGTTGTGTTTCTTGTTTCTTGTCAGTCAGTCAGTCTTGTCATTTGTAATTTTTTCAATTTTCTACACAGCCGTAAAGTTTATTTTTACTGTAATATTCAATAGAATAGAAAGTATTAGTCACTGGTTTTGTGTGTTGCTATCATAATCATACTTGCAACATTTATTACATAATAACAGTTAATAATTGCGTTGGAGTGTAACTTAGATTATTTTAGTTAATTATTATTGTCACAAAGAAGATTCTTCAATCGAGAAGGGCATATTATCAGTAATAATGGGTAAGATAAACAATTAAACTGTTTTAATATTAATGTTACATCTTTTCTGGCTACTTTATTACACCCATCTTAAACTCTAGGTAGCCTACTACATCGGCCAGTGGTACTACAGTTAGATGGCACCTTCTAACTTTTTCCCACATAACCTAAGACGTAACCTGCGAAGGTTGTGCAAGGTATTTGTTCTTAAGAAAAGAAGGGAACCATCAGAGGGTTTTCTTCCTACAAAAAATCTTCAAACTTCAAGGCTTTGTGTCTTCAGCAATTTTGTTTTTGCTGCCTAACACCGCAACTTTGTTTTCCTTTTGGATCTTCCTCTGGGTTATTTTTGAATTGCCACGGATTTTCGGCCCCAAAATATTCGCTTAACTTACTTTTGTACTCTTCAATGAGTAGAAAAGCAATTCTATCATCACTTCACTCCGTCATAATGGAAAATTGTACAATCTGCCTATAAAATAAAACTAGCCTAAATCTAGGCTACAACAGTGTCTCTTCACCAAACCAACTAATACTGAGAATCCCTCTTAGTTTAGAATCCCTCCCTTTGCCTGTTTTTTGGATCTGTCAAAACCTAAACGAATTACCTGCGATCGGTTACCAAGCACCTCACAAGCCTTAAAACGACCCCCAAACTAAGCCGCTGTTTGCTATCAAATTGTTCAGTGCTCATTTATATTCCGTAGTGTGCATTGCTCTCTAGTAGCTAGGTATTTAATTTTTATAATTTCCATTATTAATCATAGTAACAATGTTCCAGACTCCAACAGACCAGAGTTATATGAAGATGTTAAGCTCTTCAGAAATGCTCGTGAGCGTGAAAAGTAAGTTTAAAATATAGATTTGTTAAATTTATTGCTTGTTCAATTTTGATCATAGCTTATTTTAAAGCTTCCCAATAACAATCAGTAGGCCGTTATTAGGCAGTAGTCTACCGTATGTTAGACACACCATTAATAAAAAATATAGGTACTAATAAGTAAATGTTGATAAAATAAGATATTGTTACCAGTAATTAATTTCAATTGGCCTTTACAATTGTTGTATTACCCCCATAGAATAAGATAAAGTTTGACTTACTAGATCAAAACAGGCCAAATCAATAGACATCGTCATATCTGGCGAACACGTCAAAACCCTATAGCCTACCTCTCTTGTGGTCCCAGACACATCATAATTTCCTACGACCTTGGAAACATTATGTCATCATCGCCCCCATTTACAGCGAAAGTATGATCTTTGCAGATGCGTACCGGTACTACAATTCGCAAAAAGCTCTTTCCAAGCTCGATTTTCTGATTTGGCGCTTTGGAACACCATTTGATCACTCAAGATTTTGAGCCAAACTTAGCTCGACTCAAAAAACAAGATGTTCGCGACAGGACCTTTCTTTTTACAAAACATTGTAGGCCCTCGAATATGCCTGATTAAAATCTATTTTGGCCAAAACATAACTTTTGAAACTTGTTCTTCTAACCATTTACAACCACAATTAAACGTTGAGTATGTTTCAGGTATGACAACATGGCTGACTTGTACGCTGTGATCAATACGTTGCAGAACCTAGAGAAGGCGTACATTAGAGACTGTGTGACTCCCAAGGAATACACAGCGGCTTGCAGCAAGCTGCTGGTACAGTACAAGGCAGCATTCAAACAAGTGCAGGGCGAGGACTTTCCCAACATCGAAGTGTTTGTCAAGAAATATCGGGTGAGAATCTGATACAGTATCTTGGGTGGATATTACTTTAAAGCTGTTGAGTAAAATTGAAACCTTATCATAACTAGTTTTTACCTTTTGATTAGACAAAACCCCTAATGAAACAAAGGAGGGGCTGCAGCCCAAAAGCCGCCCATAAAGTCCATCTATGGAAAGTATCGAAAGAATTATCTAGAAAAGAAAATTATATGGCTCATGCGCATCTTCCTTCACTACCATTGATTTGATTATTTGAACATTTAGGCCTAAGATAATTGACTTTGGACTAATTCTATACCATAGCGTCTAGCGATGTGACTCTCATAACTTTGTGTAGTTATTTTAAGGAGAATTCAATTGTAGATGATCGTCGTAATTATGGGAAATGATATGAAAGTTGCCGTGGTGGCGGGAGATGATCATAGTGTTATCGTGATTGAGAGAACACCATTAGTTGTATTGACCATTAGTCGTAAAAATCCTTGTTTTGTTAGCGGCATACAATTTTAATCCATTCACGGCTATTCCATATTTAACTAGTATTAATCGGATTACCTCTGGTGTGGTTAAAACAGCCAATTTTATTTTCATTATACAACTTTCGGGGGCACAACATGAAGGCAAAGTAGTTTTTTTAGACGAAAAGGAATTGTATAATGAATTTAAATACTACCTAGAGTTTAAAGTTTATTTAGTTAGTAATTGTAAAAAAACTTTTCTTCAGTTGGACTGCCCAGCTGCCATGGAGAGGATTAAAGAAGATAGACCAATAACAATAAAAGACGACAAGGGAAACACTAGCAAATGTATTGCTGATATTGTGTCGGTAAGTTAGGCCTACTAAAGTAACAACTAGGTTATGCTTATGTAATATAGACTACTGGTAAAAGCTTAGTAGGGATAAGTGTTTGGTAATTGTGGTTTTAATAAATGGTCCTAGCTACTATTACTACATCAACATTACATTTACATTACATTACATTGTTACTATTGTCAACATTTTGTAGTGGATACCAACTGTTTTGGACTTCCTTGAACCCGCAAAAGTTATTTTCTATGTGGTGTCTGTGTGTGTTTAAATTTGTAGGCTATACAGACTGCACACTTAAATCTGATTTGGTTTAAATTTAATATGTGGGTACTATTGGAGATGATGCTACATTATGGTATCTCCAAGGATTTTTCACTTTTTAGAAATTTTGATCTTAATTATTGTGATTTCAATTTCCATAAAAACCCCAAAAATAACATAATATTCTGATAAAAAAAAAAAAAAAAAAACAGGTTTTATTTTGACTAAAATGTAGTATGTTATAGCTTTGTCATAGTCAACCTGAAAATGATACAACTCCCAACGCTGAAAATATGGTTCAAAAGTGTTTTTGAAATCTAAAATTTTTGTAATCTACCCTTAAAAACCCGTTAAGTTATCCCCTCCGGTTAGTTAGCATGACTGTTTGGAATACTTTGCTCATAAAAGTAGTAGAATCTTAAATTTTAAATCATAATTGGAATTAAATGACAATTTTAATCGGGAATTGTTTATTTGATGTATAATCAGTTTAATTGCATTTCAGCTGTTTATAACTCTGATGGACAAACTGCGACTGGAGATCAAAGCAATGGACGAGCTTCACCCGGATCTGCGAGACTTGGTCGACACGATGAACAGACTGAGTCTACTGCCTTCGGACTTTGAGGGGAAACGTAAAGTAGCGGAATGGCTCTCGGTGTTAGACAACATGGGAGCTTCCGACGAGCTGTCTGAAACTCAGGTAAATAAGCCCCAAAAATTTATAAGGTTGATAAGCTTCCAAAAGACACGGAAGCTCGGTGATAGCGTGTAGAGACGGGAAATGCTGTTGTTGTAAACAGTCAGGAAAGTTTATTAGCATTTCGGTTGTTTTAGATATATAACTATTATTGATGCACCAATCACCTCCTCATCCAGTACATTTCAGCCAGTCGTTCTGACGCAGGGTTTTTTTTTACTCCCTGTTATTCGGGTTGTTCGGTAGTTCCTTAAAAACACTAGGCCTATTACCAATATTTTGATATGCTCACTATTAGTAAGAAGGCCTGTGATGTTTTTAAACTTGCCTGTTGGGTGTAACAGTTTAGACAACGTTACAGAAATAATATGATCCTCAGTAGTCTAATCTATTTAGGTACAATATTATTTTTTAAGCTCGATGTTAATAAAAAGATGTGTGGGATAGTTATTTAATATACTCGTTCAAACAGGGCAGCTGACGTTGAAAAAATACTTCGACATAGGCGACACTTCAGTAAATGGTTGTTTGTAAATGTGATACTTTTTTACAATTTTCATCAGTAATTTTTAAATCAAAAAAATTTTCTAATTTAGCTTACACTTGGATCACGTTGTTACACTACAGTCACGTTAATCCGAACTTTTTTGCATCTAACACTGTGATTGTCCTACGCAATGGCTGAAAATCTGTTTGATCTAAAGTGATCGCAGAAACACCCATGATCATCTCCCGCCACGTCTTAACATGAACATAACGCTGTTAAAGAATGGGAATGGACGATTGGCCATATGGTGGCTATTACAAAATTCATGCACAATTCTTCCTTTGTTTCTTAATCCTTTCAGTGCAATGCAACGATATATCGCTGTGCAAGTTTCATCCGAAAAGTGTGAACTGTATTGTGCCTACCCGACTTTCGATTGTGTGAGTTTAAAGGCTCATATCGTTTACTCCTCAGTTATTCTTTTGAAACGGCTATGATTCCTCATACGACCGAGGCTCAAAATATCGTACCATATCATTTTTGAGATGAACAATTTTCATTTTTACAATTTTTTTCTAACGCACTAGACTTTGCCCCTGCAGCAAGCCTAGCACTTTTCGAATAAAATAAGAAAATAACTCTTAACATTTTTGGAAAATTACAATTCTCTAGCAACAAAAGGTTTAACCTTTAATAGATTATTTTTCTCTTCCCTTTTCTACTCCAATGTATGTACACTTATATACGCTTTCCCATTATTTTAGGGCATGTTGTAATATTAAATATTATTTTCATTCCTAGGTGCGTCAGCTCATATTTGATCTCGAGTCGTCATATAACGCATTCAACAAGCTTCTTCACAACAGTAGCTAAAACCTGTCTCTGTGGCTCTGAACATTATATTACATTTCATTTATTACTAATTATTGATGTTACTTTGTAAGCTTTAACGATTTGAATGAAATTGAACAAATTGCATTATAGAATTGCTTGTATAATCTAAAAAAAAACTTAGTAATAAGCTTTTATATGTGTTTTAGATTTTTTTGTTGTGCCAAAAAAGCTTGGTTATGGCCATAGATTTTGCTTGTTCCTATCTTAGCCAATAAAATATAGCATTGGATTTCGTTAGGAAATATTTATTTTTGTAATAGTTTTATTGTAATAATTTACAAATGAAATGCTACAAACTTTGAAAAGACGTTAAGCTTTTTTATTTTCACGAGCTAGAGGTTGTATTTTGTTAGTTGAGCATTTACAAGTTGGTTTGCAATAAGGTAAATCCCAAGATAAAATCAGTTACACTATAGAACGATATGTCCTAGCAAAATGTTTATTATTTATTATGTATAATGAAGAAAATTCTGCCACAATTAAAATATTAAATATAAATCAGCTACACACTTTGATCAGTAGGTAGGTACGGTATAAAAAAACTTTTTGATGAATAAAAAACTTGTATAGCTGTACAAAATTGTATATACCTTACTGGTATATGTTTGCAATGTAATTTACTTGTTTGCCTTAATCAGTCTAGTCCTGTTAACGTTTTGCCGATAACATTTTTGTTGCAATATTGTATTTTATTTATTAAATTTCAGAGTTGTGATAGTATTGTGTAACTACGTATGTAACTTATTGTAATTAATTGAAAATTGTTAGCATATTTAAGGAAATGCCTAAAGATGAAAAATGATTTGAACAGATAATACATACATTTTTTACAAATATAATTTGTTCCTTATTCACACCACCTTCAAACAACCTCTCTACATGTTTTTAATGGGAAAATACTTGGAAGTTGAAGAGTTCAAGTGGATTGGTATGGGCCATTTTTGTTTGGTGCAATTACTTATACGAGTAAACTTTACTATAAAGGACAGTGTCAGACACTGTATTTTAGCTTACTAAAACTTTTTTCACTACACTACACAGTAATCAGCGTTTTTCTGTATTGGTTTTAGACCCAAAGTTGTTAATTACATAAAGGGACCAGTTAAGTCGGCTGGAGAAGGGGCAGTATAAGAGTATGGTTACAAGGGCAATATCAAACGTACAAGGCTCTTTTAACAAACTTGGTTTGAAAATACAGTGAATCCGAGATATTGTTAAAATAAGCTGGCTAAGAAGAAAAAATTAGATTTAAGTGACCCTGGTAGGCTCAGAAAAGAATTAGTGAATTTTGTATAATGAGGCTAGACTAGAATGGAGCAGGAGTCGTCTTGGTGACTCAAGTACTAAAGGTTACTACCATGTACTGTCTTCTTGGATGGCTTTTACAAATCTAAATACAGTAGACTCCCTCTAGTTCGGCCACCTCGGGACCCGACCACTGGCCGGACTACAAAACGGCCGGACTAACCTGATATAGTGCATTTTACATAATCAAAATACAAATAATAGTATTGCGCAATTGTGATATGTTAAGTATTTGACCTTGGTTCAGTAATAAAAACTGTAGGTAACGTTTAAAACCACGCTTACTCTAGCAAAACAAAAAATAATACAACACTGTACGTACAGCGATAAATCACGTAAAGAACAGAACAATAGAAAGTCTGGTACTGCAAGCTACTGCTACCGCAGTCAGCATAGGCTAATACTACATTTTGTTTCAGAACACAAGAATTTAGCTAAAATCATTAGATAACTCATAAAACAGCATAAAATCATAGTACTTAGTCTTAAAGATAATAACGACAGTCGTAAAATAAGATGAGGATAACAATGGATGAAAACACCGCTTATTCTTTTTTCTTTGTTCTTCTATTCTTTCTTTAGTTTCTCTTTATCCAAACATTAAACAAGTTGCCATAGTTACTAATCACCCAATCACAAACTGATGTGAGATAGCAAGCACACAGCAGACAGTTGTGTAAAGAGCAGATGATTGTCAATGCAAGTGGTTAGCTTGACCTTGAAGCTAATAAAGGCTATTTCTTTGTTTTGCTTCAATTTATTTTTGTCAAATAAACCGCGTTATTTCAAAAATGATAATGGGAGTACCTACCGCATAAAAAAATGGTCCGAAATATTAGATTATACACTGCATTTCAACATATTATTCTGAAGAAAAACTATTTATAAAATGTTCTTGATATTTTTGACGTTATGTAACATAGTTTTACATAGGTAATATGCAACAATCCACCCATAGTAGCACCCGTCAACTAAACTGACATGAATTGTTTACTTCTATGGCCGGAAACTAAACAAAACATTCATGTTGAATCCTGTCCAAGGTCATTCGCCCGTGACGATATGACTTGTCCCTCTGAGACCGGGCCGGACCATCCGGCGGCCGATCCAACCGAAGCCGAACTAGAGGGAGTCTACTGTATATAAAAGGCAAAGCCCTCACTGACTCACTCACTCATCACTAATTCTCCCACTTCCCATTTACCTAGGAGGCTGAAATTCGGTACACCGATTCTTTGGGCATTAAATATAAAACTAAGTAGTTTTTATTCTGATCGGGCTTACGGGCTCTGCCCCAGTGGCTCTGGAGTTTCCCATATTAACCTAATGATTTTTCATATTTAAAAGGAATTAATGAATCTTAACAGTTGTTTCAATTAAACAAGTTGGCTCTGTTCTATGATGTTCAATAACATTGAAGTTACAAGCATTACCAACAGGGTGCAGCACTATTATTTTTTTTAAATTTATAACAACAGCTAATATGCAACCAAAAGGTGAGTGAGCGTAGCGAACAAACTTCAACCTGGAGGCGAGTTAGCATAGCGAACGAGCTAACCTGAAGGCAAGTGAGCGCAGCGAACGAGCTCCAACCTAAAGGAGAGTGAGCGTAGTGAACGAACTTCAACCAGGACGTAATTGAGCCATGCGAATACCAACGATATAAACAACTCATGGATCGCTAGCTCAGTTTTGGCCGCGCGGTCGAGCTTCCCCCACCATCTACTGGCAGAAGCTGACGCAGCCCGTACATTCACCATTATAAAACATACTTTTTATTTGCTGCACTGTTGAAATTTATAGGGATAAAATATTGCTAACGCTTGTCAAACTCTTTTTACTAGTTAAACCTTTTATGTCTGTTTTGTTTCTTGCAGAAAATAGCCCATTTGAATTCTTTAAAACTACAAATTCACTAAACCCGTTTTGTAGATGTTTTTAGACAACTGATGTTGCTAGTTCCAAGTTGTACTAACATGGTAAAATAATAAGTGATTACAAAGGAGAAATATAAAGTACAATATTTGTATTTGAAATTATATTTTATTAATCAAAAAAATAGTACATAAACATTTAGAATAATTAGTTTTTGCCGCAGTGGTAACGTAAATGTTTGACGTAAACGCGATATTTTTTTCTTTCAATGTTTAATGACAATGTTTCTTACAAAATAAGTAATAAAAAAGTATGCCTATCACGTTAATGTCAAGCATAGATTTGCGGTAAAAACTGGACAAATGTAATAGGGTTTTTAAGAGTTCAAATGTGTTATTTTCTGCAAGAAAAGAAGAAGACGTAAAGTTTAGAATAGTAAAAGTTTTTGGCATGCATTAGCAATATTTTATATCTATATATTTAAACAGAGCAGCAACTTAAAAAGGCGCGTTTTACAATGGTGAGTGTATGGGCTGCGCCGGCTACTGCCAGTAGATGGTGGGGGGAGCTAGACCGAAAACAGCGCCCGCAGTGCTACTGAGAGCGCAATCCAGTAGTTTTTACATCGCTGGCGAATACTTATGAAGTTAAACGGAGCAAAGCCCGTGGGTACAGCTAGTAACTGATAAATTTATATCTAGTATTTATCACCCTAATACTCTTATGCATAAAAAGGATTTAGGTTTGTTAACTTCATGATCCTCTTATGTTTAAATGCACAATTTTATTTTACAATAAATAATTAAAACCATGCTTATATTTAGAAGATTCTGTTTTCAAGTTTGCTACTATGAATATGAGGTTTTTAATCTACAGGCTTTCTATTAAGCTCCAAAAGGAGTCTTACTAGAAATTATTAAGTTATTAATTCTTTTATATTCTAATTTCTAATTCAGTACAACATAACAGATATGAGAAGCAAGACAAAGTGTCAGGTTTGTATTTGTATAGTTTTAATATATTTGCTTGGCATATCTCTCATGAGATTCTTGTGGTTTATATGCAAAGTAGCAGGTGTTCTCAATATGGTTAGGTAAGGTTACTACACACCCAACAGCTCATTTACTCTCTAATTGGGATGAAATTTTGTGGTTATTTTGGCTTGGAATCATTCAACTGAGTGGTTCCTTGCAAACTTCGTACTAGGACAATACAAGGCAAATACAATAAGTATTTTGACTGCACTTGTGTCATACAATACACCTCTGTGACATTGTTTTTGTTTCTTCCAGTACTTTTCATCGGGTCAATCATAGTTTTGTCTTATTGTCCTTTGTTTATTTACATTGACTTGTATTATCATGTATTTAAGTTTTTTCAATCCTCAATTGTCATTTTTATTTCTCTCGTGCAATTTTAATTTCTATAACCGACTTGATGTTGGGTTTTGTTATTCCATAATTGTTCAATGATCTCTATAGACAGTGGTTCTTAAATGAAACACATGTTCATGGCAATTCGTGTTTATTAAATCATTCTACTTATCAAATTGAATTTGTGTATAAAGCCGTTTATCTTCAAACTTCCAAAATTTCAAGAACTATTACAAAATGTTGTTTGAACTGCGAGTTATCTTCAGCTAGTCACAGTGATTAGACGACATCCAAACATTGATAGAAACTAACAATAATGTACATTTTTAACTATAACAATGATCTTCATTCAATTTATAGTTGAAGCATAGTTATATATTACAATTTGAAGATTGTTCTCCACTTGTTAGTTATAAAATATTGTTTAACTATTAAACACTTTTTTGTGAAAAAAGGTATCAGGGTTTAGTAGGCTATGTGCGTTTACTTCTTCGGGATTAAAACTAAAAAGGAAAGATCAAGAATAGCAGTCCCGGCAAGTTAAAATTAAATAAACTCTTTGGCCAAAAATTGCACCAGTGTTATTGTTGTTTCTTCAACAAACAAGTACAAAGTAGGTTAGAGATGTTGAAAGTGAAAGATTGAGGATTACTTGTATATTTTGACGTTATAATAGCTGATATAACATCAAAGGTATTCCAAGAAATTTAAAATCTGTAATTAAAAATGTTTCATACAAACTGATTTAGTGGTGAAAATCATGTTTTGGTTTAAACAAAATTAACACGAAGGCAATCTTTTCCTAATTGCTTGATTGAAAATTTACCTGTTAATGGCTGGCACAGATAAATTAACCATCGGAAATATTAACAGCTTATAAGTTAGTACTAGTTAAGCTTACAATTTCACGTACATCGTACTATACACTAACAGGTAACTATGGTTTTTGAGTTTACTGCCTGGACATGATAGTCATATACATAGTTGACCATTTTATTACATTTCAAGCTTATTAATAACTTTCACCTTAGCAGCATTTGAGACCAGAGCTCTGTGAATAAAGATGTTCTTGTTAACTAATGATTGTTTGGTGAATATTTCATAAGTCTACTATGGTTTTTTTGTAAACACAGCTTTTAAAAATAACGCAATGAACATTCACGTACATATTCTAATATAATTTGAATAAATACTTTTATAATGCGTAATTATTGATGCCATATTAAGGTTTTTGGCTTTAGTAGCTAAAGTAGTTTTTAACATATTTTATGATTTTCAACAAATAGGCATTTGTTCAAACATATCAACTGTTTTTGTATTTTACGATAATAGTTTTCACAGTACTGGTACCTACAATAAAGATTTATAATCCTATTTTAAACATGTACATACTTCAAAACACTCTAATTTAGCTTAAATAAACTATTTTAATCATATAAGCACAATTAAGCGTACTCATATTAACAACATTAAAGCTTTTTGCCCATTTTACTGATGTATATTTAGTAAAATTTATAAAAAAATTAACAGACTCTAAAAAACTAAAAACCATGAATTCTTATCCAACCATAAAATATTCTGTATATTTTATATATTTTGGTATACTAATAACAAAAATATAATACATTTGCGCTGATTGTATGATATAGGTAAGCTTGTTTTAATCTTAAATACTGTTAAGTATTGTCATTGTATACACTGTTAGTTACACGATATTGTCAATCTTTAGCTAAACACTATTTACACATATTTCTATACAACATTAAACAACGGCACATTTATACTACTTTACTGTACATATTTGATACAGTAAAAAAATACATGATTTTTACTCAGTTAGGTAAAACTGTGCAACCCTGCCTTTGAAAGTTTCATAAATAACGTATTTTACACACAGTCACAACATTTAACTACAAACTAAACATCTGAAGAGCTAAGGACTAAACATTCAGTTTCTATAAATACTTTGCTCACTTAATAAATGTTTTTGTTGGTAGTATGAGCTTTGAAGAATGTTACTTTCTGAATATAAATACTGTATAAACAAGTTAATTCATTAACTATTTTGAAAATAGTATATTTTTCACTTTAAATGCAAAACGGTTGTTGAGACAAAAAAGAAATAAATAGTCTTTCAAAATAAAATCCTTAAAAAATGTGCGGAAGTAAAATTCATGAAAAGTAAATTTTGTTAATATTGTAAGGGATAATAATGGAGGAAGGAGACACAGAGAACAATAAGAACTTTATAAGACTCCTGATGAAGTTTGTGAATTGAAATGTAGAAAGATTATATGGATTTGGATTGGTTTTATAAACGATGATGAGATGAAACATGAAAACTGTAATCAAAAGTAACACTGAAGGAAGGAAACTGAAAAGAAGACGAGAAATATAGAGGGTGTGGGAGATATGTAACTACATATGATGCATGACCCAGCGAGTAAGGAAACAGAAATATGTTCTAGTTAAAGGTACAAAAAAATAGTTACTGAAATCAGGTTTTGATGGCTTGACTTTTGATTCTAAATAAAAAACAAGGATGTTGACCAACTGACAAGACCATTCATGTTATTACAATTTAATCTGAACAGATCAGACACAAAATTAAAAGTTTGTATATCTTACATACCTGATTATGATCAAAGGTGGGGGAAACAAGTTGAGTCATAGAAAAATAATACCCAGTATATATATGATTTTTTTGAGTTTACTCGTATTATAGAATAACATCATATTATTTTGTTCATTCTCTTCCACTGCTTGGAATCGTTTAATATATTTAAAAAAAATTTGCAGTGTGTTTCGTAAAGTTCATTTCTCATTGATCTAAACGAACTCTGAAGAAAATATACACATATACATAGGAATACCTAAATTTTATGTTTTAATTAAAGCAATTGATTTAGAATTGTCATCTTCCTCCTTTTCATCTGAATACAGACAGAACTAACAGTTCTTCTAATAGTCAATCTCGAAATCTTATAAATTATACGGCAATCCCTCCCGCCCTGTATGCTTTAATTCTTTAGCAAAAAAATCACTAATAGAATAAACTTTAATAATATTTTAATTTTCACTTTTGTAAAACAAGGTTTAGGAAATAGTTATTTTATAAGAGATATTCAAATCGGGAATGAGAGGTTACAATTACAGAGATTAATCTAATTTCCCTTATTCACTTCACTAATACAGTTTTAGTTTTACTGCACAATTGTTTTATTTCCCTGCACTTGTAATGTTGTATGTATTTTTAACAGTTTTTTTTTTTAAGTTTTACAACATTTCTGTTGTTGAAAATGTAGAGGTAACTTGTTTTAAACAATGCTTTGTTTAATTTGCATATAATGAAAATAACAAAATTGGATCGGGAGGAAAAACATGTGATATTTTTGATCTTAAGTAATAAATCACAGTATTGTTTACACTGAGCTTATAACGATCTACTAAAACAATTGAGCTTACTAAATATTATATTACAACTATGTACAGTTACAAGCTACGCCAACCAACAGAACAGCAACAACATTATTTGTCCTTAGATAATAGTTCTTTATTTGGAACAGTAAACTCTATTTTATTAAAAAATTTCAGGTTGACAAATAACAAAAAGAAAATCTTTAATAACAAAATAAGCCAACTTTGGTTAAAACTATTTAAAAAATGATCAAATGTCTCTAATTAAAAATACATGTTTTAGTGTTCTTTAAAAATCAAATCTAGTTTCTAAGAAAGTCAGTAAAACTATTCTTTAGATTTTCAAAGCCTGATGAAAATATTATATACTATGAGGATTTCTATTATTGTCAAGTTCATATAGTATGAATTTGTTGTGATCTAAAATATTAATTAATAAATATAAGTTTCAGGCTGATGAATTGCGTTTAGCCGTTCAATTGTGTTGTTATAGGATTCACATATGTTTACTTGAAAATAAGCTAACAGTTATCTTTGTGAATTGACAATGAGTGAAGAATTAGTGTTGAAATATTGAGATGACACTTTTGTTATTGACAAAAATTCATTGATTTTCCGTAATTTTATGTATTAAAATAACATAAGTAGCAACATTTTTCAACATTTTATTTAAAATAAAAAAAAAATTATGGACAGTTTTAATACGAGGTAGGCCTATCTACAAAACCTATTGTTATAGTGTCTTAAACATCTTTAACATGTGAAGAGAATATGAATGAAATTAAAAAAATGTATTATGATCCCCATACTAAATACGATAAAGCTAAAAGCATAGGATGCAGTGTACACATTTCATGTTTAGGAACCAATATTTTATATACCTATCTCACATTATATTATACCCTATCACATAATATGTGATCAGATATTTAGTAGGTTTAAAGATAGGTTTAAAGATAGGTTTATTACAATTCAAGTTTGCAAACTTTTAGATAAAATTAGGAGTAAATCTCTTTTGAAATTTACAGTTATGTTAATATTATCTTGAGTTTTCTTGTAACGACCTTTTGAAGTAATTCATTATTTATGGTTTAGTTGTATTTTATGAATAGTTTGATTTTTGTCTGCTTTGTAAGGTTAAACAGCAGCAATGTAGTTTTCCTTGATCCTTCTACTGGCGGTTTGCACAATTCTGTTCTTCTCCAGCAAACTGTATAAATTTGGAGAACTGAATTTCTGAAATCATTAATAAAATACACTCAAAGAATCATAGATAATATTTAATTCTAAAAAACTAAACTAATAACTCTTTGAAATCTCAGAACCTTACAAATTAAAAACTGTGGTTTATCCTTGGTGAACAGATTTATATTCAACCCTATTTGAATAAGTCATAAGTCATAAGTCATAAGTCGTTTATTCAGCAAAATTAACATAAAATGCATTAGCTACGTCAACAAAACAAAATAAAATACAATATTTAGATAACAAAAAAAAACTCTCTTGTATAAATTAAAACTGTCAACTATGCTACTATATTTACCCCACCAGTTCTAGGGCAAAGAAATTCACGAACGCTGCAGAAGGCATTATCCAGCAAAAAATTCTTTAGTTTTTTCTGAAATCTATTTAAATCCTGTTCGGTCTTTAAGGAAGGAGGAAGGTTATTGAAAAGCTTGACGGCATTGTATTGAAAGTTTTTTTGGAAGAAGGAAGTTGAGTGCTTAGGAATTGCAAGGTCGGAAGAATTACGAAGTGGATATCTATTGTTGATCTGTGAACAAAAAGAAGATATATTTTTTCTGGTGAAGGATAGTGTTTCAAAAATGTATATGGATGGGAAGGTTAGAATTCGGAATTTTTGGAAAATGTCTTTGCAGGATTGTCGTTTAGGTAGGGAAAATATGATGCGGATGGCTTTCAATTGTTGTCGGAAAAGAAACTTCGTCTTTTCACTTTCACTACCCCAGACAGGGACAGCATAGGATAAATATGGATATACAAGACCATAATAAGCAGACAGGAGGACTTCTGAATTTACTGTTTGGCTAAGCATACGTAGCATGGAAATACCAACTGATATTTTTGTTGTGACATGTTTGATATGTTTGTGGTAGTTAAGATTTTCATCAAGGACCACACCAAGGAACTTAACCTCTTGACAGGGATGGATCTCATTTTCACCCAACAGTAAGCTAAATGTTCCTTGTTTTTTGTTTGTTTGATGATTTGAAATGCTAAATTGGAGAAGTTGGGTTTTTTTTGCATTTAGGACAAGATGATTATCCTCACACCATTGGAGCAGGCTATTAGATTCAAGAAAAATCGATTGCTCAAGTGTTTCTGTAGAATGACTGGATACAGTAAGAGATGTATCATCGGCAAACAGACAAATGTTTGCCTTGTTTGCGCAAGTGGGCAAGTTGTTTATAAATAGAAGGAATAAGGTCGGTCCGAGGACGGAACCCTGGGGCACACCTCTCGTGACTGAGGCGTCAGCAGAACGATGATACTTTAGAAGACCTGTTTCATCGATGGCAGGGATTGCTACATACTGCTTTCTTCCTGCTTTACTGCTTTCTAAATGAAAAATTTTAAAAATTTCATCTATAGGTCGGCCGCTTAGAAAACGACCTCCTCCAGCATTGGTTTAGCATTAGCGCGCAGGTCGTTTTCTAAGCGGCCGAACTATAGCAAGTGCTGTATTGGGATTCCGGAAACTATACGTCCTAACCAGTGCTTGATTTGCGGTGGAACGGCGTTCCGGTACCTTTCAACCATTTTTTAGGTGGTTGGGTCATAATTCTACAGTTCCGGCACCTCATTTTTTACAAATCAAGAACTGGTCCTACACATTTTTAAATGATTCATACTGTAATAGTATTGAATAAATAAATACTGTAGTGTAGTTTATGTTGTTTGTTATGACAGGTTTGATAATAATTTATGAATATGTTGCCTAATTAGGGTAGACTATTATTGGAAGAATATCAAACAGCAGCTGTTACAATTTCTATCAAACCATTTCTGTGTGGTCTACTGATTTCAGGAGATAATATTGTAGCTTGACTTTTCAAATTCCATATTGAATGTAAGTTTGGTCTGCTTCACACGAACTCCTTCACACTTGTCTGTAACTAATTAATTCAATGATTAGTGATTAGTGGTATTATTTAGTTGGATTGTATGTAACGTTAAATTTTATTTCTTGTGTAAGTTACTTACCAAATCACTCAATGAGGTAGGTGCAGTTCATACGGTTATAAATGCTTCACCAAATGTTGAATGCTTTTCTGTGCATTCATCTCCTAAAATCACAATCAAGCTGAAATGAGTAAACCAAAAGTTCAAAATACATCAAATACATGATTTCACTAGAGATAAGCTTGTTGTAAGTTTGAAATTTGTGGTCCAAATAGTTGATTACACTGATAATAAAATACTGAAAACGTAACTTACAGTAAAAGCCAGAAGCGCAGTTGACAGCTTTTACACATACAGCCAGTGTTTACACTTGAATCTGCTTACTTCCTTAGTTCTTGACAATGTTTCATGTTCTTCGATGGGAGTTATGCTGTATGCTATTTTCTGTAAACAATAGGGGGACAGCTGTTAAAATGTAAGGTATTTTCTATAACAGCTGACATTTTAGAAATTCTTTCCCAAGCTCTAATTTAAACCCATCAGCTGATTTTTCCTTGCTCTTAATCAGTATATCCATTTTCAAGACAGTTAATATGGTGTTTCTTACAAAAATTGTAAATTTGAGGTTATTGTTTGTTTAAAGAGGATTTTTATATTAGCAGGCTTACCTGAATGGGAAAGAGTCCAATGAGGCACAAGAAACAAAACCCAATAGACTATACGCAACAAACTGTCACATGGCAGTATTTTAGACTAAGAAAGGTTAAAATGAAACGGTTAAAGAGAGGGTTTGCCATACTACCTTGGTTAAAAAAAAAAAAAAAAACTGCAAGTAAAACTGAATACTATAATGTTGTTGTGAACAGTGTAAAGTGATGCGTTTCCTGTGTCATTTTAGACTCTCCGTTCTCAGAAAAACCCTGAAGTTTTGTGTTTGTGCTCTCTTATACATGCTTCAACTCAAATTATCAACTTACTTTAACTATAAAATCTACTATTATATATTGAAAACCCATTACGTCTCTCAGTGTGCCGGGAGCTTTGGCCACTTGTATGATCCCTATGAGGGGTATCATGAGGATAGAAGACATTGCAAGAGACCAGCCTATCCACTCTGCCCAGCCCGGGTACAAGTAGTCATTGTAGCGAAGTGGTTCATGGTAGAGTAGGCCAAACACTATGACTACCTGCAACAAACAGTGTCAACAAGATTGGTTAAAACTGTAGAAGATCTCGTTAAAAGTTTAAAAATGTCAATAAGTATAAGTATGTGTAAAAGTTTTAGTTTATAATTGCGTTCAGACAGTCTAGACTGTACCTATTATACCTATTATAAGAATCAAAAAATCTTTCATTGAACATAAGTAATAAATCTGATTTTGATTTGATTTAACATTTGGTTTAAAATTACCATAGCTCTATGGAAAAATCTCGGCGAATTTCCATATGAAGGACTTCAAAAAATAGTGTACATTCACTGTCTGTAGAGAAGTTAATACTGAAAGGGATAGATACTGGGAATCTGTAGCTTTAATCTACAAGTGTACAATCATTTTACTAAATCAGGACGCTATAATATTAACCTTTAACGTAAGAATATAGTTGACTGTGAAACACAGTTCAAACAATCAGTTATTGCCCCATACTGCAGTCATCCTGCAGGCTTGTACACACACCAATGTGGGTTTTATAGATATTGTTATTTATATTACTTACAATAATAAAAGCTGGACTTATAAACTTCCAACAGATTCTCCAATAGCAGCCCGGACGAATACCCAACATGGACTCAACATCTTGTGTGAATCTCTCCAAACCTGGAAATGAATACAACCATTAACACAAATTATGTTACTAATTATATAATTTAAATTTTTTGCCTGAGAGAAAACAGAAAAAAGTGTATTCCATTATTTCATAAATACCGGTACTTAACCAGTTGTTTTTATAGCCACATAGACATGATAATGTTGAGAGTTGATAAAGATGATGAATGGAACAATATAATCAGCTAGTTGGTTTTTGTCTAAATGCCCATGGAAGTAAGTAGCTAAGTATTTTTGCCATATAAACTATATATCAAAATCGACCAATAATTAACAAATAAACTAAACAGAAATCAGTTACCATAAACAGAGTGTAATTACCATAGAACCATGATACTGCCACACACTCAAAAAGAGCTGAGCACAGAAGCGAGATACCAGCGGAATATGTGTCTAGTAGATGAAACATATAAATTCCACCCTGGAACACATAGCAATGGTTATTTTCACACAGGAAAACTTTAAGTACAATAATAGTCAAAGGTACAATATAAATCTTCTGCTGAATATTATAAATTTAAGGATACCCAACATACTGTATACCAGTGTCCTAAAAAGGTCTTCAACAATTATTATTCCTTCAGTCACAATCTCAGATCTGGTTTGGTTCAGATCTGAAACAATGCAACACTATGTTTTACAGATAGTACATGCTGTCTTTATTTTTTACATTATTGTATTTATATTTATATCATGTATACACATACCACAAACTTAATGATAAACATGTGATGCTAAAAGAAGATTAGCAACATGACACCATAAACACTCGACAGATGTGTCTAATTTCTATGAAGTTTACTTGTTGGAAATTGAAATTGTAAAATTGTATACTTACTGGTGTAACGTTGAAAATGGCGATGCAAAAGGAAAATGCAACAGCAAACAAAGTGAAGGTCTCCCGAGCATATTTGTACGGCTTGAAAAATGAGTGGAATTCATCCATCAGGCCAGTAATGACACACTCCAAGCCTCCCATCTGGGGACAGAAAACATAGGTTATGTAGAGTGGCGGTTCCAAGGTGGGGGGGGGGGCTAAAGGGGCTACAGGGCCCTGGAAAAATTAACTTTACAGACATTTTGTCCTAAAAACGTAACACAGTTTTTTTTACACATATCTAGATGTTAAAAATGGCTTTAGAAGGCCACCACACGGCTTTAAAAATACATTTTTTGTGGGGAAGAAACCCTGGGCCCCCCTTCCTTCTTGGGGGCTGTGGCCCTAGTAGCACCCTCTTGGCAAGGTCCTAGAACCGCCTTTGGTTACGGGTTTAGATATATTACAGAATAACATTTACCTTAAGGAGGAGGTTCTGTTGACAGATGAGTTTGACCTATTTTCAATTTAAAAGTAGGTCATATTCTTAGGACAACTTTTAAAATGAAACACGTTCTTAATTTAAAATTAGAATAAAGGTTGGATTTGTGATAAAATATTCAAAATCTTCAAGATAACTTTCTGCTTCTCTTGAAATACAGAAAAGAACAAAAATACCTTTGGACCATTCACTCCAGCTTTCAGAAACAATGTTTCAAAAGAGCACACTGACTCTCACTACCTTTTGGAAGGTCAAACCAGTGGTTAAAATTAAATAAGTCTGATTGAAATAAATGCGTTGATGAAGATCAAGTATAAATCTAAAAGTACTTACAGCACTATCCAAACCAAGCATTATGAGCATAAAGAAGAACAGCAAAGACCAAATGTAGGATCCAGGAAGGGTGGCCACGGCTTCTGGGTAAACTTGAAACACTAAACCAGGACCTGAAACAAGGTGATTAAATTAGGTCATACAGTGGTCGAAAACTCAACCAAAAATATGTAATTTACAGACTATATTTTCACTCCACGCTGTAAATGAAACATGTGATTGGAATTTCTTCCATTTGTTTTTATTTTCTGTTTATATTTCGTAGTTACTTCGTCACCAGCATGACACACCATGTTAATTTTTTTAAATTTTGAATTAATTTTTTTGTGGTTATTTTTTAGTCTATTTTAATTTATAAAGGGATTCTGCACATCTATAGGAAAATATCTTTCTAACAGATCCTCCCTGTGATGCACACGAGCTAAGAATATGTTTTAAATAAAAATGCTTGCCTATTAATATATATGATAAAGTACCTTAATAAATAACAAATCATCAGCATGAAACAATCACAATTTTTCCTTTTAAGTCACGTTTTATGACTATCACTTTATATTTTCCCCCAAGATGAATTATACTTTTAATTGCTACCTAAGGAATAGTATTTTTTTTTATGTATCTTACAATAACTTGGTTTCAGTTTTGATTTTAACTACTATTTATTGTTCTTGCACATTAAAAAACAATACACCTAGTTAAAATAGTTTATTTTCGGATTAAAAGAGTAAAATAATGAACGCCTGAACAGTTTGTGTTCACGAATTTTGAAAAACGCCATTTCCACTCCAATACATGTATTGTATGTCTTTTGGTTTGTTGTTCATAAAGTTAAGATCAAACATTTCATAAATACCTTCGGTGGCGACAGAACTTATGGGAATGCCTTGTTTATGAGACATAAAACCGAGGTAGGTGAAGATGACAAAGCCGGAGAAGAAACTTGTGAAACAGTTTACTGCCGTTGTGATGATGCAATCCCTGAAAAAGAGTTTTAAATTTTTTAGGCAAATAATGTAATGCATCTAATAGACAAAAATACATTTTAGCGTAACGTAAAGGGAAATGATACATCATCTTATTTATAATATATAATATATAAAATATATAAAAATATATAAAATATAGTATATATATAATTAAAAAAAAAGTTTTTGTAAATGAAGTTAAATAGTTATTTGTGTAACTAGTGGTGAAAGTGGCACTTTGCTGCACACGGCGGCTCGTGCGGAATGATCTCGAGTGCAGCAAAGGCCTTTTTCACTCGTGTTACACATTATATTTTTCCTACAGTCACTATAAAACATAAATAATTAGTCTTTCAAACACTATACAACACGTTTTTAGGTTCAGCTAGCAACACAATTACACAAATGGTGCCCTGGAGAAAGTAGTACCCGTGGTCCGTATCAATGTGCTCCGTCTTTTGAGAATATAGTTCCGTATGTTTTTGTAATTTGAAGTGGTTTCCGCGCCTAAAAAAAATGCTTTAAAGGTATTTTCTTGTTTATTAAGACCGTAGGAATGTTTTAAAAACGTTTAAAAGAAAAGTCCAGAAAGTTCAGAAATACCAAAACTATAAACACGAAATGACAGGTTAAATCGTAGTTATAATAGTCAATCAGCTGTTCATAGTATTATCATCTTTAAGTGTTGCCAACCTATTTCCAAGCATACACGGATTACGTGCATAATAAAACCACGCTGTTTTGTGTTGTTTGGTTGGAATCCTGATGTGCGGCAAAGTATAAACCGTGCGGCAAAGTATAAACCGTACGGCAAAGTATAAATATGCAGCAATTAGCAGCTTTCTGTACTATAAACAGTACAGGGAAGCCAACTTTGTCGGGTGACTGTAGGAAAAGTGTATTTTTAGTGTTGTTTTTTTTTTTTTTTTTGTTAAGGTGAAGGTATGAATGTTGCCAACCAAACAGACGGTCAACATTGACCATTGTTTAATAAGTGTTAGGTTTTTATTTTAGCAGTACCTATGTATTTTATTTTATGTGCAAGTTAGTGTTGTATATGTTGTACATATGGAGGTAGACTATTATGTAATTTGTACAATAAAGCACTTTTTTCATTCATTCATTCATTCATTCACATCATCTTATTTAACAAAACAAAATGACAATAGAACAAGCAGAGAAAGAGTTTGGTTCAAATTAGAAAATATTACCTATTTATGAATACCGATCAACATTTACTATTAAAAGACCAACACCACAATTTTGAAGATCTATCCGAAAGCTATAAGTATGAAGATATATAAATGGTAATACGAGTATTAATATCTCTAGTAATCCAGTTTACATAGATTATCTTTGTACAACATTTCAGCTAAATTTGCTTAGATATGATTTTTCCGTGTTAGATACACATTAATAACCCTCATTGGAAAAAAACCACAATAATAGTTGTTATGGTGAACCAGTGCCTCAGAGGCGACACAAGAGACTTTGGATTCATGCAGCCATGTCGTTAGTTCAGATCCTGGTACCTGCCAATATTTCATCAGTATAATTCACCCTTGTACTGTACCAGCTCACCCCTTGCTTTTGCACAAGCTCCATGCACAAGCCTCAGACTTATGTAGATGGGCAAAGACAAAGTTAAATAAGCTGCCAACATTTTTAATACAAGACAACTATCAAACATTGTAATAGTTATAAAAATAGTAATAGTTACCTGTAACAGTTGTTGTGGTAACTGTTGTAACTGGCGTAGGAGAGATGTACTCCGAACCCAGCCCCGACAGAGTAGAAGATTTGAACTGCAGCATCTACCCAAACCTGAGTAAACACTAAGATATATTGTTGTATTTGTAACATTACTGATTAAAACTACGACAAACTGCACTTAGTTGGTTATTCTGGATATGATAAAGATACTTGCTAAATATTCTTATTGAAATTGTATGGGTATAATATTGTTTGATTTGAGACTGAGTAGGATGGGTGCTTCACCCAGGTTTCGTTGATTATTTAGCTTATCAAATTATGATCTAACAAAAAGTAAATTGTAAATTTAAAAAAAGACTGGGTGTCAATGGTTGCTTTAAAAAAAATTTTAAATGCTAATGTTTAATTTACACAAAACCTATTTACTGTAAACACAAGACATTTTATTCACAGTTATATATTTTTTATGCCATTGATGAATATTAAACTAAACTAAAGTGACAGGAAAAATGTTGGAACAAATGTTTATAAATGCTTCTTTTCTAATAGAAGGGGTTGAATGAAAACATGTAAAGAAATGTAACGATTCTCCTGTAAACTTACAGTGTATAGGTCTCAATGTTTGAGGCACTTCACATTTAAAAAATTCCAATGAACTTCTACACTATTTTTTTTTATTGTCTACAACCTATGCAACATTTTCTAAGAGGTATAGAGAAGGTACACAAATGCATTTTGGAAAAGCAGTCTAAATTGATATGTTTTGTGGGTGTGCCAGGAACCAAAGTCCGATAACAGGCTAGCTAGCACCACACTCTCAATTGTTGGGAGCTTTAAGACAGCTGGTAGAAAGATATTGTGATGTAGCACCTGAGTTTCCTTCAGTTTGGAAAGCTGTGGATGAAGGTAATACTGGATTCCGGAGAGAGCTCCAGGCAACATTAGACCTCGTATCAGCAGAATAGACAGCACCACATACGGCAGCGTGGCAGTGGCCCACACCACCTTGCCTGGAACATCAGAGAATGTGATTAGGTATTACAAACTGATAACATGAATTTTTGGTTTTTTGTAGTGTATTATGTCAGAAAATTCTTCTGACAAGTTTTCCTCTGAAATTTCTTCTATTGAAGGCAGTAGCACAATGGTAGCATCTAAGAGTGAAAAGTCTAAAACCGGTTTATATCAGTTAATTTAATCACACACTACATATAAACATACTGCTGATTGAGAAGTTAATCTTTAATTTAAAGCAAATCACTAATATGGCTTCATATTTTACTGAGCCTCACCTGAGGATTTCACTCCTTTGAACAGTGACAGGTAGAGCATGGAATACACGCAGAGTAGACACACTGTCAGCTGCCACTTGGGGTATCCCATCTCATGTAGTCCCGGACTGTGCTGCATCTCCAGTACACCGCGGCTGTTGGCAATAATGTCCATACGATTCAAAACAATCATTTATTTTAAACTCCTTAAAATTATATTTTAAAAGGAAATATCTTTTTCAAATTAAGCTTTCAGAAAAGCAAACATTTCCACCACATGAATGTTTAAATCCTAACTTTGTAAGTTTACATTCCACTATTATGGTTAACGTCATCATCACTGAGGTTTTAACTGTTAAACACAAATAAATAAGTTGTAGGTTGAGAATGAATTATGAGTCAGGTTAGTGGAAAAATCATTTGTATTTGAATCCTAAGCTATTTAGCTTATGGTAGCACTACATTGACTTAAGTATGAAGTTTGGACTTCAGTTCAGAAGAACAGACCCAACTATCCTTGCCTTGCCATCATTATCATTGCCTTGTCGTAAGGGCAATCTAACATTTGCCGTGACAGCAAATCTGATAATATTTGTAGAGTGTAGTATTTTATAAACTTTGATTAATTGAAACTTAATCCAGCTGTACTTGATCATTTGGCTTTTAATAAATTATCCTGAATGATGAAACAGCTGATCATAGTCAGTAATAAAGCTAAATAACATCTAACTCCATTCTAAAATCACCTTGTATTCGTATTCACCTTTAAATATGAAACCCATAAGTGTTCGTCACACTCTCTAAGAATTGATAATTGTACTTGTTTACGCAACCCTCTCACGATGACCTCCAAAGTGAAGTAAGTATATAATAAATTGTGAGATACAGAAGAATACTTTACTTTTTTTGGGGGGGGGGGACAAATTATTCAACCCAACACCACTGTTATTAATCAAATTGTACTGTTTCCCCTCACTATGACTCGGTATACCAATTTTTTTTTGTACCAACATGTAAAGTTTGTTTAAAATACAAATTTTAATCTTATATAAACATAATGACTGACTGGAAGTATTCGGATGCTGGAGAGTTGTGTAGAATCGTGAGGTTGGAGTTATTACGGCCTGCGTCTGCACACAACGGAGTGTTCCAGGTATGATTGCAATGCAGCCAAGGTAGCTCAGGCGACCACGAGGCCACCAGGAAGTACAGGGACCAGCCTATGATCACGTTGTAGTAGAAGGAGACGTAGAATGCTACCAGGACTGCACAGAAACCTACACCTGCAAAGGAGACAATTTGTGTAGAAGTAAGATGTGGCGAGCTGTCCAAGTATATTTAAAATGTATGAAACTAACAAGATATAGATATTCTATAGTTCAGCCGCTTAGAAAGCGACATGCACGCTAATGCTAACCAATGCTAGACGAGGTTGCTTTCTAAGCAGCTGATCTATAGTTATGTAGTGCAGTAGAACATAATTTAATTTTAAGTTAAGTTTCCAAAAAAACTAACCTTTACAAACAAATCTCAATCTTCATCTTCATGACAATATATTTGACTCCTGCTCTTCTCAGTAAAGGTGGCTGTAATTTTTAGGAAGTGAGAAGTACTAGATCAGAAGTGCTTAATTGAATATTTGATTTCAATCCTTGAGCATCTTATTCATTTGGTCTTGTACCCTTGCCTTTTTTGTTTCTTGTAGTCTTGGAAGTAGTTGTACAGATGCTTGGATGGATCTGTTTCTCATCAAGTGTTTATACCTCACTTGATAAGGTAAAAGTAAAAGTCTATGGAATAATTGAACGCATATTAAACATTTTACCTTTGAAAATGGGGCATATCCTCCACACACTGATAGGACCCTGCCTGTTGTATTGTCCGAGGATAAGCTCCATGTAGAAGAGAGGGACAGCGCCGAAGACCAGCATCAGCGTGTAGGGGATTAGGAATGCACCTGTACATTACAATGTCACTAGTTTTAGAAGGTATTAAGAACGGTACCTGGATAATAAAGAAATGGGTTTGCACTATTAAATTTGCTCCATCGATCTCTATTACTAAAACTTTGCTCTAAGTAAATAAAGGTATAGGGTAAGGCAAATGTTAGCTAACCTATCTTAAACCTATCCTGTGTAGTGTAGCCTACAACAAATTTCAATAGTAGAAGCTCTCTTCCTGAAAAGACCGAAATATTGTCTGAACCATCAATCCTAGTAAACGCAATAGTAGAGTTACAGAGAGAGTAACATTTAAATATCTAATTATTTATGGTCAAAAACTCACCGCCTCCATTCCGGTAGCACAGGTAGGGGAACCGCCAGACATTGGCAAGGTCTACAGCAAAACCGATGATGGAGAGAAGGAAGTCTGCATTGCTGGCCCAGGTCTCTCTACCATCAGCCTCTCGATGATCGCACAGCGTCACCTCGTAGCCTCGGGCATCATCCACCAGTCGAACCTCCACCCCTGAACACATCAGATAAACCGTCTATAAAGTTTTAAACTATACAGAAGAATACTATTAAAACCCAACTAAAAAATGCAAGACTCCTCTCAGGCAAGAAGAACTTTCTCTCTATGGAGGGACTCCCTCCGCCAGCCACTCTTAAATTAACGGGGACACCGAAATAGCCACGAAGTTTTATGGTCATAATCCATACTGGAATTGCCACAGCGTCTCAGCCAGGTAGATGGGGAGAAACGGAAAACGAAAACTTATAATTTATATAAATTTTTATTTTCTCTATTTTTAGACTTTAAGTTGACATCTTAACATTTCTTGTAAATAGATACGACAATTATAAAAATAATGACGTTTTTATTTTGCAATTTCGCTTTTATATTTTAGGTTTAATGTTATACATTTTATGGGTGTTACGACTATTAGAGCTGTCAATAAACTGCACATACTCTTTGTACTTGATCGAAACACTAATTAATTGCATTTGATTTTTACTTCAAAAGACGTATCCTATTGTGTAATTACATGCTAGATGCTATTTGTTATTGTACAAGTTCTACGATATTCGTATATTTTTACAATCCAATGATAAAATATCAGTTTATTGATTTCTTCAACTCCAGTTAAGAAAAGAGGTCAGGATCTTTCGTATAATACAAAGTTAAAGTCAAACAAAAGTTATAGATCAAGAAGCCGGCCTAAATATGCCAGCCTAAAACTCCGATTATTCCATCAGCCACGTCGATTTGTACACATTATAAACAAGTGTTTAAAAATACATTTTTTATCTTCCTAAAATTATCTTCCTTCTAGTAGAGCCTATTTTTATATGTATAATGTACGAATGTGTTCTTTTAAAATATATTTTAAGTCTTACAAAGTGTAATAGATCTACAGTATTTTAATGCCTTCTGCAGGTTTGTGTTCTTGCAGAAAATCGTTTAAAACCATGATTGTGTTTCGTAAGAACAGTTACAAACCACTACAAACTTAATAATTCAGAACAGTAGTGCTTGGGGTGGTAGGGACGGGTTCAATTCCCGGCATATCCACAAAACTGAAAGGGTTTGGACCGTCTTCCCAAAAAGTGTATGAAGATATGAAAACTAAATAATATTATTTCTGCCTTCGTTGGTAAACTAAATTACCTACGGTAACTAATCGTATCTACTTATTATAAATTGACATAGTATAACCTCTAAGGTAGCGTTCGTATATACTTTTATAAATTGACAGTTAATTAGTATAACCTCAAAGGTTACCTTAGAGCAATGATGTGTTTTAAAAATCGTCATTGTGATAGGTATGGAAAATAATGGATTTTCTTATTCCCTTTTTCCTTGAATGTTTCCAAACTGACCTCCCCTACCTGACTAATCCGCCGTGGCAATTTCAGTTTGGATTGTAATAATTAAACGTCGTAGAATTTTAAGTACGCCCACAATAACCTTAATAATAATCACATTCCAATACCATCCTCTGTTTCATCAGGGGATGAATTATGTGATTTGGATCGAATCTGGTGTTAGTAATGCAGTCATAAATAGTCGCTGTACAAATTGATGTCACTCCGTGGACTGTGAATCACAGTGTTACACAGGTGAGGCCTGGACATATCTCGTAAACTGAGCACGAATGGCTCTTTTTATGCCTGATCACAAATTACAGCATTTGATGGCACATGCAATCTTTTACACGCTTTTGGTGGTAAAGCTACTGCCATTCTATAACATCAAATAATACAGGTTCACTTTGAATTAATGGTTTCTAATTCAAAGCTAAACAATCCTGTTGCAAAATACTTGCATACTAAGTGATTTTTGTTGCTTCATTGAATATTTGCCTTACTTATACAGCAAACAAGGCGTATTAAACACATAACCACGATGCCTCTAGCATTGTTTAGTTAATTGTGGAAAACTACGTTTTAAATAATTAGCCTCATGAAAACCGACAGACAAATCAAACTGATAGATGGTCAAAGAATAAACACTCCGTTGTTTACGGACGTTATAACATAAATAAATCATCCACCCACACCAGAAATAACAGTTCCAAATGAAATTATAAAAATATCAAAAATAATTGTCATTTCCTGATACCTTTTATTCAATCTCAATAAATTTAAGGTAGGCTACTCTTTATAACACTAAACTCTAAACTTACTACAAAATTAAAACTAAAGATGACGAATTGGAAATTAAATTGAAGAAAAGTCTGAGATATACCTTAAGCCTGGACAGTTTACATCAAGTAGTGATTAAGTAATGTATTATAAATGTGTGCTGAAGGGGTGACTTACTCTTAGGTGTGGACGGGGTGGAAGGTTCGCTGGTCTCCAGGAGTGAGGCATGAGAGTCGAGAGCCCCGGGGGCGAGCTCCTTGGTCAGACCCGACGCTTGTCTGTGGTTCTGGCTGTATTATATAATACTAGGTCAAGGGGTGACTTACTCTTAGGTGTGGACGGGGTGGAAGGTTCGCTGGTCTCCAGGAGTGAGGCATGAGAGTCGAGAGCCCCGGGGGCGAGCTCCTTGGTCAGACCCGACGCTTGTCTGTGGTTCTGGCTGTATTATATAATACTAGGTCAAGGGGTGACTTACTCTTAGGTGTGGACGGGGTGGAAGGTTCGCTGGTCTCCAGGAGTGAGGCATGAGAGTCGAGAGCCCCGGGGGCGAGCTCCTTGGTCAGACCCGACGCTTGTCTGTGGTTCTGGCTGTATTATATAATACTAGGTCAAGGGGTGACTTACTCTTAGGTGTGGACGGGGTGGAAGGTTCACTGGTCTCCAGGAGTGAGGCATGAGAGTCGAGAGCCCCGGGGGCGAGCTCCTTGGTCAGACCTGACGCTTGTCTGTGGTTCTGGCTGTATTATATAATACTAGGTCAAGGGGTGACTTACTCTTAGGTGTGGACGGGGTGGAAGGTTCACTGGTCTCCAGGAGTGAGGCATTAGAGTCGAGAGCCCCGGGGGCGAGCTCCTTGGTCAGACCCGACGCTTGTCTGTGGTTCTGGCTGTATTATATAATACTAGGTCAAGGGGTGACTTACTCTTAGGTGTGGACGGGGTGGAAGGTTCACTGGTCTCCAGGAGTGAGGCATTAGAGTCGAGAGCCCCGGGGGCGAGCTCCTTGGTCAGACCCGACGCTTGTCTGTGGTTCTGGCTGTATTATATAATACTAGGTCAAGGGGTGACTTACTCTTAGGTGTGGACGGGGTGGAAGGTTCACTGGTCTCCAGGAGTGAGGCATGAGAGTCGAGAGCCCCGGGGGCCAGCTCCTTGGTCAGACCTGACGCTTGTCTGTGGTTCTGGCTGTATTATATAATACTAGGTCAAGGGGTGACTTACTCTTAGGTGTGGACGGGGTGGAAGGTTCACTGGTCTCCAGGAGTGAGGCATGAGAGTCGAGAGCCCCGGGGGCCAGCTCCTTGGTCAGACCCGACGCTTGTCTGTGGTTCTGGCTGTATTATATAATACTAGGTCAAGGGGTGACTTACTCTTAGGTGTGGACGGGGTGGAAGGTTCACTGGTCTCCAGGAGTGAGGCATGAGAGTCGAGAGCCCCGGGGGCGAGCTCCTTGGTCAGACCCGACGCTTGTCTGTGGTTCTGGCTGTATTATATAATACTAGGTCAAGGGGTGACTTACTCTTAGGTGTGGACGGGGTGGAAGGTTCGCTGGTCTCCAGGAGTGAGGCATGAGAGTCGAGAGCCCCGGGGGCCAGCTCCTTGGTCAGACCTGACGCTTGTCTGTGGTTCTGGCTGTAATGTATTATACTAGGTCAAGGGGTGACTTACTCTTAGGTGTGGACGGGGTGGAAGGTTCACTGGTCTCCAGGAGTGAGGCATGAGAGTCGAGAGCCCCGGGGGCGAGCTCCTTGGTCAGACCCGACGCTTGTCTGTGGTTCTGGTTGTAATGTATTATACTAGGTCAAGGGGTGACTTACTCTTAGGTGTGGACGGGGTGGAAGGTTCACTGGTCTCCAGGAGTGAGGCATGAGAGTCGAGAGCCCCGGGGGCGAGCTCCTTGGTCAGACCCGACGCTTGTCTGTGGTTCTGGTTGTAATGGTGGGACGGGGTGAAGCCTGAAACAAGGCACAACCAAGTGAAATACTTTAGGATACATGATAAAGTATATAATTTTCCCGCTAGGTTTTATAGCCAGAGGTTGTTTGTCACACCACTTCGGGCTAGGGCTAGAGGTTGCGGCATTTGGCTGGTATTTGAATCCAGGACCTCGGGGACAGAAGTCCCTCGCTCTACCACTAGACCAGCTCACTGTTGAATATGGGTCGTGTAAAATTTCTTGTTTAACCTGAACTTCCTGTCGTCATATATTAGGTACTGGGCTGCACGGTGACCTAAAGAGTGGCTAGTACCGAAAAGTTGCGTGAGAAAACCAACAGATTTTGATTTTACTTAAGGTGACACATTAGTTTATGTATCCAAAATTAGTTTTTTACATCAATGAGATTGACTAAATAAAAGTATATGGATCTAAAGTCAATAATAGAGCATATTCTTTTCTGTACAATTTGTGTATGCGCTTAGTAAAGAGACTTCTACAATACATACAAAGTTATTTTCACCAGAGAGGTGTAGGTATACATTTGTTGGTGAATAATGGGGATTGAGCCTGAATCTCCACAGGATATTCACGCTTTAACTACAAGGTCTTTATTTTTCTTAAACCGTATCCACAATCTTAACACTAACACTTCAAAAATATTTTTTCCAGACTTACCCTCATTAAAGATTCAAATCATAATATAAAAAGAAAGGTTTCAGAAGGAGGAGGGTGTTAGTCGTTTCAGCAGTCCTCTCACTCCCCACTCGACTTAGGGTCATATTGTTATTGAAATTGAGACTATTGAATTGATCTCAACACTGGGCACTGGGAGAACATTATTGAGCTACACCAAGAACCTCAATCATTTTATAAATATTGTGTAAAAATAAGTTATACTTGGCAGTGGCTTGTATTTTCTACTTCTAAGTTTAGTTTCTAAGTTAAGTATTTCAGTCTCTTATTGAACAATAGGTTAGTTTATAAGTAATCCTTACAACAAAATCCGCGCCTGCTGGTACAAGTAAACGGCTTACGCTTTATATATCCAGTTGTAAAATTCTTATGACGCGCCTTTAGCACTACAGCACTAGATTACAACACACTCATATGCTGGATAAAAATAAACATGTCTATAAAACATTGTGATAATTGTATGATTGGCACAACAGTATTTCATTGTTTCAGTGCTTCATAATAACTAGAATTGAGCGACCTAAGTTACAGTAGAAGTAGTCTTCTTATCAAACACCACAGTACTTCATATCACATTATGGCGTATTTGTTTTATGGTACATAATGGACCTATACAAATTTTTTAGTTTCGTGATGATTTTTCTATCTAAGTGGGTACACTAGGTTTCGGGAGGTAAGGAAACTCCCTAACTAGCCTAAACTACCATTTTTGTTTACACAGATTATAATATGAATATTTTACGCACAAATAATATATGGACCACAAAGATAAACAAATGACGTCACTGACCCGAATGTCTATCTAGTCGTAACAGCTGGTTTGGACGTTTATTGACAAATCCTTTTAAATGTTGATAAATCATATACATCATATACATCATATGTATAAGTTTACTTTGGGACCAGTGACGTAATTATTTGTTTATGTTTGTGATCCATACAGTTTATTTTCTAATATCCGTGATATTACGTAACACAAAAATGATACGGGCCTGCAATAATACCTTCAAAACAATGAAACTAAAACCTCTAAAACTCAACACAACTAATTATTAGTTCGAAGCCTCCAATACAGTCTGGAAAAAGCCAGTCACACAAACCAAACTGTTTAGGTAAATTATGATTATTTGTGATACAAATGGTAAATCAGACACACGTAGGGGTTGCTCGGTATACATATATTTTTTAATTTTTTCAATATACGTGATGATTGTAATCTAGTGGATAGAGCGTGGGACCTCTGGCGTGTAGCCTCGAGTTAAAATCCCACAAATCACCAAATGATCTGTTGATGCGTGGGTCATTCAGAGCCCATATTAACTCACAGATGAACCTATTACAAAAATACTAGGGCTTTCAGAGAAGAAGGCTGTTCCCTGTATCTTAGAACTCCCTAAAAATCACTATTTTTAGTTGGCATATTGTGGTAAATTATGGGTGAAATTTTTACCTTATGACATAACAAAATGAAAGGAAAATGCTGACAATGGACGAGTGAAGGTGAAGGCTTTTATAATATTCGAGAATCGCCAGATATATGAGGCTGTGGAATGTGTGACGCGCGCTTATTGTGTGGTCTTTAAGCGCACCGGTGCTTCATGCTCGTCAAAATACAGGTTTGAGGTTGGTAAAATAGTTAAATAGGTTTATAGGTTGTTGAAAAAATACAAGGACATTGAAAAAATAATTTTTGAAAAGTCGGAAGTATAAAAAGTGAGGATTCTGTAACTTATTTGTAAATACACATTTGTTAATGTTTTATCAATATATTTGATGATTTCGTACACTATTTACTAACAATAATTCTCGTTCATCTCTTAACTCTTCAATCACTGCAAACATGCATGCTTTAAAGGCTGAGTGGGTTCATACAGAAATACTTAAACGAAACTAATCATGTGTTTTTTCGCTCGATACGAGTAATAGTTAAGGTTTTCTAAACATTGTAGTTAAAAATTAAGAACGACCGTATAAAGATTTAGCACTGATAATACCACAATAAAAAGGTATTTTAGCGAAAGATCATTCAAAGTCGGTAGTTTTTGGTCATTCTAGGAAATTCACGAGCTATTAGTAAAAAATTATTATTTCTTAGTTATTGAGCTAAATTCATATTTTATTTGAATGAATTATGGGGGAATAAATACTGTATACATTAACAAATATCGTAATCTGTTTACCCAAAAGATAGTCAATAAAGCACAAAAGTAAGTTATTTGTGCATTTATCAAGTGATTTTTAACACTTTCACAAGTCTCAAAAACTGCAGTGATTTATTTAATGTTTTCATTGTACTATTTTGGAATTAAAATGTAATATTGAATGTTCGTCACTTATCTTTCACCTTGAGAGTGGAACTCATTAAATGTGCCAACTGATACAAGGATTGGAGTAAAAAATCGCTTATTTATATAGAAATTCTAAACCCTGCAACTAAATTATAATAATCAATACCAGATTGATCACACATACATACAGTTCAGCTATACACATTAAAAGTATAATTATGTACTTCAACACAAAAAAGCGTTGATGACTTGCATTCATTTCTTACTACTTTACTATCTTTTAAACTGTTGCGGCAAAATTTATCCTTAATGAACCACTGCTTTTGTTCAAGGGCTATGTACATTTTTAAGTGCATTCTGTGCAATTTCC